AAAACTTCTCCATCTCCTCCTTCTTACTGAACAAATTCAAGTCCACAGGCAGAACATCGATCGCCTCGCAATCGACGACGCCCACAGCGAACTCGAGGTCGCGCGTTGACTGGCGCAACCAGGGGGAAGCCGCCTCCGAAGGAATACCATCTACCGACAGCGGAGAGAGACCTGCTTCCGCCTCGCCCTCGGGATCCCCGAACATGGCGCACAACGGCTGGATATGATGATCTGGCCTCTCCCCCAACTCTGATGCCATTTAAATCGACGTATCCTCAACTCACTTTCGCAGTCAAGAATGCCCCAATACAGCAGGACCTGTGAGTGGGAGAGAGACCTCGTCTTGTTTTCAATTTGCACCGTCGCGCGACCAAGCATCGCGATCCGAGCCAAAGAAGACATGCAACTGTCCAGCCGTCGACAGCCAGCCTTGATAAGGACAAACGCCCCGAGGCCTGCAAGTAGAGCATCCTGCACATTGCCCACGAGCAAGCACCTGCGCAGCTCAAAAGGGATGGGCAGCGACCAGATGCCGCCGACGCGATAAAATTCAGTCCTCGCTGCAAAACACCTTCTAGTGACCTCCTGGTGGCCAGAGTCTCGAACTCGGATGTGGGGCCCCGGGTGCCGCGCGCCGTCCTTGATTTTGTCGTGGACCCCCTGGGCACCTTTTCGACTTGCTTGTCGAGCTCGATTCCCCTGGGAGGCGAAATGTGTCAACCGCTCCTGCTTACCTAGGTTCTGGACGTACCCGAAAGGCAACATCACGGGGTCGAAAACCTCGTCCACCTCCTTAACCTTCCCAAAGGGTCCCCCCAGGGTCATGTGATCCGAAGCCACGACGGTTTTGTTTACATCATCAGCGTACTTCAACAGGTCCAAGTCACTCTGAAAATCAAGCCACCTCGAGACCAAAAGACGAGACATAGGGTCCACTCGGCTGCACTGATGGGCCCGCTGCAAAGTGGCTTGAGAGAACGTGCCTAAAAACGCGGACACGGTGAAGGGATCTCCCATGACACCGCCCTGAAACGGTTTGGCCAGGAGTGGCCCTTCTTCCGCCGTTAATTCAACCATGTTATTCTCGTAGCGCTGCAAGCACAAGGCACGGTTCGCCTCCGAGGCGGGCGACTGTGACTTCTAATTCAGACCAGTCAGAACTTCTGAACGCGTGCGTGCGTGCGTGCGTGTGTGTGTGCGTGTGCGCGTGCGCGTGTGCGTGCGTGCGTGCGTGCGTGCGTGCGTGCGTGCGTGCGTGCGTGCGTGCGTGCGTGCGTGCGTGCGTGCGTGTGTGTGTGTGTGTGTGTGTGTGTGTGTGTGTGTGTGTGTGTGTGTGTGTGTGTCTGTGTGTGCGTGGAAAAAACATGGCGTCAGAGGTATCCACAGGTCTCCAGAGGTCCTCGTGGAGGCCTCAGGCGGCTTCTGGTGGCTCCAGGAGGGCCAGGACCATGCAGCTGGCGGCTCCAGGAGGGCCAGCACCACCCAGCCGCTCTCAGCCTGCAGGGCCCTCCGAGACCCCCATCGCCCCTCAGGACGGCGGCGGCGGCCTGGCGCAGAGGGTGCTGTGGGCCGCCCAGGAGCCGGCCGCGCGCAAGAGCGACCCTTTCAGAGGCGACGAGAGGGGCGAGCAGCCCAGGGGGGAGCAATGCATGTACGGTAGGTTCGCGTCGTGTCGACCGGCGGCGACCCCGCCGCCAGCGTTCAACGTTGAACGCCGCCAGCGACCCAGAATTGGTCGATGTTGAACGATCGGACGTTCCGGAAACGGCGGATCGTTCAAGGTTGAACGATCCGCGCTGTGTCAGGAACCAACGCCAGGGTTGACACGACACGGACCTGCCGTATTCAGGTGCGCCGATGATCTATGTCTTCGACAAGGCTTCGGGGGGATGCCAACAAGCCACCACCACCAGCCTGCGCCCTGGACCGGTGTATAGACCTCCAGGCCTAGGCCAGGAGGGCCCGTAACACCAGTCCAGGGCCCAGGATGGGCCTGGCCGGGGCTGGTGGTGGTGTATTGCTTGGAGCCCTCCTGAGGTTCCCTGGCGAATGCGTGTAGTGCCCGCCCGCTATTCGCCCCTATCCTCGCCGCCGGCCCCTCGCCGGAGCAGCTCTTCTGGTCAGGGGGGGGCGCTCTGCGGGGCCAGCCCTGGGCACGCGGGCCGCAACCGTCGGCCTCGCGGGCAGAGGTCGGCAGGCTGCGGCACCAAAGGCCGCTCTTGCCTCCCTTATCGGCGGCGCGCAGAGGGGGGCAGGCCGGAGGGTTACGAAGCAGGGGTGGACCGAAACGGTTTTTTGGCGATCTCGTGGGCCGTTTTCGTTTCGATGTCGTTTTGCGTCAGAGACGGATTGAAGACAAAACGAGGGAAAATGAGAACGAAACGAAAACGAATAACACATCGTTTAGGTTCAGCCCTGTTCCAAAGGGGGTTTTTGGCGAGTGGGTTTTCCAGAGATCCACCCAGGGCCTTTTCCCCCTAGGGGTCCCCCAGGGCCTGCGGAGCCCCTGGGGGACCCCTCCTGGAAAACCCCCTCCCCCAAAAACCCACTTTGGAACCCTCCGGGTAGGGGGAGGGGAGAAGGCTTCTCAGAAGCGCCCCTGAATCTTAGAAGGTGCGGGCCTTCCGGCAGCTGCCTCCCATAGGGGGCCACATGCGAACCCTACCCCTACCCCCTGCGATTTCTGGGGGGGAGGGGTAGGGTTCGCATGTGGCCCCCTACCAGGGGGGGGAAGCACCGCCCCGCCCTCCCTGCTCCTTCCCACGAGGGCCTCCCGGCAGCTGCCTCCCGACTTGTTGGCAACGTCGGGAGGGGGCCCCGGCCCCAGGCGGGGCACCGCCCCGCCCGATCGCCCAACGGCATCGCCGACCGGGGCCTGGGCGCCCCGCCCCGCCCATCAGCGCAGCGGAGGAGGCCTGTCGCTCGTCGTCGTCGTCGTCGTCGTCGTCGTCGTCGTCGTCGTCCTCGTCGTCCTCGTCGGTCTTTTTCCTGCTTTTCCTTCTCATCCTCCTTCTCCTTCTCCTCCTCCTCTTCCCTCCTGCTCCTTCTCGCTCCTCGTGCTCCTCCTGCTGCTCCTGCTGCGCCCTTTCCCATCATCGGCTCTGGGTCGTTGCTCCCCCCCCTGGGCCCAAGCCCCCCCCCCCCCTGTCTCGGGTCGGACACAGCGGGCCTGCTTTTGTAAGGTCTGGGCGATCGCGGCCGTAGTCGGCCCTCTCCCGCCCCGCCCCCCCCCCAGCTCACGTCTCACGCTCTGTTGCCTGCCCACATTTGCAGAGACTTCCCCACGGATCCTTCAAGGATGTCCTAAGATTTCGGGCGGCCCTCGCCGTGATGTGATCGGGGGGGCGAACTGCCCCTCCCCCCTCACCCGAACACACCTGTTATCGCGAATTATAGAATTTTCTGGTGACGTACCCGACCCTTACATATACCGAATCTATACATCTATTTGTATACGCATAGACGTATGTGTATACAGGGCCGCTCACTACGAGCAAATATGTTGAAGGACACGCAGTGCGCATGCGCTCCCAGAAGCACGCAAGAACACGTGCAGGAATAAGCAAGACAGTGTTGGAGACAAAAGCATACGGATGAGGGCGAATGGGGCGATATACGTGTTCATGAGGAGCAGCAGCGCCGAGCGCTGCTCACGCGGGCGTGTGGCTTCTGGCGTGCAAGCTGCGTGGTGCAAACAATGCGGCGCAATGCAAATCATGCCAGGCAGGCGTGCTTCATCGGCCGCGGGGATGACATCAGCTGGTCGGCGAAACGCATGGTTGATAGCAGTAGAGGGCCCGATGCGCAACCTCGAAGGGCGGTAGTGATAGCACACATCGAAGAGCAAGGGCACGCGAACCATGCTCGCGGTCAAGAGTTGGGAGTGATCAGAGGGCCCGATGGGCAATTTTACCTCTGGGCCATAAATCGTCTGAGCAATTCGCGAGGACTGAGGGCGGCTCGCGGCACGCAAACCGCAAATGGCTCCTTCTTGTCCGAGTAGCAATGCGGACCCTGCCAGAGGAATCCTTGGTGGAGCTCCTTATGGGTTCCGAGCAACTCCACCCCGCTGGGCCAGCCAGGAACCTACGTAATTGGCGACGATTGCACAGTTCGCAGCCGCCCATGGGGCCGCGACGTCTCGGCTGGCTGTGCGTACAACTCCACTCCACTGGATCTCCTGGGAGCCCACGACATTGGCGACAGTGGCGCAATTCGCAGTCCCCCAGGGGGCCGTAAGGTCTCGACTGGGTGTGTTCACAACTCTTCTCCGCTGGGCTTCCCAGACCGCCCACTAAAGTGTCGATAGTTGCGCAATTTGCATCCTCTCAGCGGGCCGCGAGGCCTCGGCTGGGTGTGCGTACTGGACGTACCAGGTCCCATCGAAAACGGCGACGGTTGCGCACTTTTCGCAGCTCCCCGTGACCGGCGAGGTCTCGGTTGGGTGCGTTTACAATTCCACTTTGCTGGGCTTCCCAGGAGTAGCGCAATTCGCCTCCCCCCCCCCTCCCAGGAGGTCGCGAGGTTTCGGCTGGGTGTGTTTACAACTCCATTCCGCTGGACCCCTCAGGACCCAACGAAAGTGGCGACGGTTGCGCAGTTCGCGCAGCCCCAGGGAGCCGCGAAGTCTCGGCTGGTGTGTTTACAACTCCACTCCGTTGGGCCTCCCGGGAGCCCACGAAAGTGGCGACGGCTGCGCAGTTCGCAGCCCCGCAGGGAGGTGCGAGGTCTCGACGGGGTGTGTTCACAACTTCGTTCCGCTGGGCCTCCCTGGAGCCCACGAGAGTGGTGACGGTTGCGCAGCTCGGAACCCTCCAGGGAGCCTCGAGGTCTCGGCTGGGCGTGTTTACAATTCCATTCCGCTGGACCTCGCAGGAACCCAACGGAAGTGACGAAAATTGCGCATGTCCTTCCATTCCGCTGGACCTCTAGCAGGAGCCTACGAAAGTAGCGCACGTTGGACTTCCCAGGAACCCACGAGAGAGACAGAGGACTGGAGAGAGGGAATAGGAGGCAGGAGAGGGGTGGAGGCGGAGGAGAGGAGAGATAGAGACTCGACCACAGTGCCCCATTCAAAACGAGAACCCAACACAGAAGGGTTGGGAGAAACTGGCTCAAAAGGGGGAATACAGTCGACCCGCATAGTAAGGATGAACGGCTTTACAAGGTTGCTTTTGCATCCTTCCCCTTCGGCCCATCCTCGGCCTCTTTCGCTGGTCGCGCCCCGCTCGAAAGGTGTCGACATGGCTTTCCAAGGTCCTTGCATCCTTACCGCGAATCCTTATTGTACGGGTTGACTGTGCGAAATTTGCTGCATGCAGCTGGCTTCGGCCCCGCCTCGATACATTGTCGCCTCCGGCGCCAGGAGGCGCCGGAGAAATCAGCTACGCGAGCGGCGCCTCCAGCGCCAGGAGTCGCCGGATGTGCACCCCCTTTACCCTGAACTTCCAGGAGGGCTTAAGAAATAGCACCAGGACGTCGACGTCCTAATTCCTGTCGAGGTTTGAGGCAGTCCAGATAGAGGCAGTCCAGATAGATCTAGAGGTCAGGAGTGCTAATTTTCAGCACTCTGGAAGGTCAGGGTACAACTCCCCCCCTTTCCGACCGTCCCGGATGATGATTTCCCCTCACTGGTGGGGTCACTCCCAGCGTGCCGCCTCCCAGGAGGAGGAGGAGGGCGAGTGGACGGGCGCTGGTCCGCAGCGGCCCCGCCTTCCGCTGCCACCGCAGTGGGCGGAGGACGCGAGCAGCGCCTGGTGTGTGCCGCCGCAGCGGCCAGGGGACGCGGGCAGCGCCTGGTGCGCCCACGGCGGCTACAGGAGCGGGGCAGGCCGGCCAGGGATGGCCCGGGCGGATGGCCAGAGTCAGGGCGCGGAGGTCTTGCGCTGTCACTGGCGATCCGAGTGCCGTGCTCGGGCTCCGGGGCCGTCAGGAGGCGGCTCAGGGTGTGAAGATCCGGCTCTGGGAGAGGGGTCGGGGCTTCCAGGGGCCCCGTGCAAAGTGGCATTTCAAGCGCGAGTGATTTCGCGTGAGGACGTTCAATGGCTTCGACCTGCGGGGCGCGAGTTGTGTGTGTGCCTTGCATGCGTGAGTAGTGGAGTTGATCGACAGCTGGATAGTCACCACCTCTTATTCTAGACGCTTCGCGGAACCCCACCAGCCCCCCATCCAGAAACGATGCCCAGACGGGTTGCCCTGATCAGGGCTGTGGAGGAGCATGAAGTGGCATAAAGGTTCGGATGACGCTATAATTCAAGAGGGGGAGGAGCAAGGAGGAATCGGATGATGATGATGCTGCTGATGATGATGACGATGAATATGATGATGCTGATGATGCTGATGATGATGATGATGATGATGATGATGATGATGATGATGATGATGATGATGATGACGATGATGATTCTTACCCTCGCTTGGCTGGTTACGGCTTTCGGGGCGGGGGTCCCATTACTCACGCGCCGCGTGCGTTCTCGAGGTGACGGGGAGGGGGCAAGGGGCCGACATCCCCGTCGTGAAGCAAGAGTATCTTCAGCCTTTGCCTCGGGGCCCAGACATCCGAGGTTTCCGACGACGTCGGAAACTTTCTCGAAATCAGCTCCCTGGGGTCGGATTGGGTCGGGCCGTGAGTCAAGAGCTGGCCGGGATTACTTGCCCACAGGATCCCCCAAGCGCCACACTTGCACCTCTTCCCCCGTCTTTCTTCATATCCGTTGCCTTTGGCCCAAGCCGTGCAGCCTTGATTGGGCATCAAGCCATCCCTCACCCATCCTTGCTGCACGGTTTGGGCAAGATTTCCTGGTTCGGCCGGGTCGCAGGTCTGCCTTCGCGGTCTGGGCCATACTTGCCGGTTTACCGGCCAGTCTCTCTTTTGCCTTTGCTCCAGGCCCGGGTGCTGCATTGTATAATGGTGCATCCTGTACGCTGTCGCGTGTGTAATGGTGATGCTGCTGCTGCTGCTGCTGATGATGATGATGATGATGATGATGCTGACGCTGCTGCTGCTGCTGCTGCTGCTGCTGATGATGATGATGATGATGATGATGATGATGATGATGATGATGATGATGATGATGATGATGATGATGATGATGATGATAATGGTGGTGATGATGATGCTGATCATCATCATGATGATGATGCTGATGATGCTGATGCTGCTGCTGATGATGATGATGATGATGATGATGATGATGATGAGGTTGATGATGCTGATGCTGATGCTGATGCTGATGCTGATGCTGATGATGTTGCTGCTGATGTTGATGCTGATGCTGCTGCTGATGAGGAGGGGGAGGCGGAGGAGGGAGGAGGGAAGAGGAGGGGGACGAGGGAGGAGGAAGGAGGAGGAATAGGCGGATCAGGAGGATGAGGAGAAGGAGGAAGAAGAGGAGGAGGAGGAGGAGGAGCATGAAGAGGAGGAGGAGGAGGAGGATTGATTATGATCATGATGATGATGAGGAGGAGGAGGAGGAGGAGGAGGAGGAGGAGGAGGAGGAAGAGGCGGAGGAGGAGGAGGGCGAGCAGACAGGCCATACGCCTCTTGGATGCCTCTCGGAGTCTCTTCGGATTTCTTCTGAGAGCTTCTCGGAGTCCCCTTGAGGTGTCTTGGGGGTCTCTTGGCAGTCCTGGGGGCCTCTTGGGGCGTCTTGAGTGCCCCTGGGCGGCTTTTGGGACCCCTTGGGGGTCTCTTTGGGGTCTCTGGGGGGGGGGGGGGGGGGCATCTTGGGGGCCTCTTAGGCGCCTCTTGGGGCCTCCTGGCCACCTCTTGTGGCCGTCTTAGGACACCCTTGGGGGGAGCCTCGGGGCAATCTTGGAGGAGATCGAACACAGGAGGGGCCGCACTAAATTGGTGCTCCCCCCAGGAGGCCAACACGTGGCCAACACCTGAACAACATCACTAGACCAAGGCGGAGAGGGGAGGGGGAGGGGTAAACCCTTCCCCGAAAGGGAAGAAGGAAGATGGAAGACGAACCTCTCTAAGCCACTCACGCTCCAAAGGGCTGGTGAGATCGCTGGCCACCACCACCACCTCTCCCCGCACCTCTTTTCCCGCTCCTCCCGCCTCCCCTCCTCCCTCCCCTCTCTTCCCCCTCCCCTACCTCCCCTTCCCAGTCCTCCTCCACAACTACATATCCGATCGAGGATTTCACAACGTGATGTTTAATTCCCAACCATCCTGTGGTGGTGGGTCCTCGTTTTGACGAGACAGCGCCCCACGTTTTTCTCCTCCTCTTCTCTCCTTCTCCTCCCTCCCCTTTCTCTTCCGATCCCTGCCTCTGCCCTCCGAACCAGTCAACCATTTTGGCACACCCCTCACACGTTTCGTGGCCCCATAGAGAGCCCAACTGCAGGCCCGAGTGTCAGCGTTCGCATGCGGCCACCGCGCCCATTTTGGCACCCCCCCTCGCACGTTTCGTGGCCCCATTCGGAGCTCCACCGAAAACCAACGTCCCAGCGTTCACATGCGGCCACCGCGCCCATTTTGGCGCACCCCTCACACGCTTCGCGGCTCCACAGGGAGCCCCGCCGAAGACCCATATGCCAGCGTTCGCATGCGGCCACCGCGCCCATTTTGGCACACCCCTCGCACGTTTCGTGGCCCCAAAGGGAGCACCACCGAAGGCCCAACTGTCAGCGTTCGCATGCGGCCACCGAACCAATTGTGGCGCACCCCTCACACGTTTCGCGGCTCCACAGGGAGCCCCACCGAAGATCCACATGCCAGCGTTCGCATGCGGCCACCGCGCCCATTTTGGCACACCCCTCGCACGTTTCGTGGCTCCATAGGGAGCTCCACCGAAAACCAACGTTCCAGCGTTCGCATGCGGCCGCCGCACCCATTGGCACAGCCCTCACACGTTTCGCGGCTCCATAGGGAGCTCCACCGAAAACCCACGTCCCAGCGTGCGCATGCGACCACCGCACCCATTTTGGCACACCTCTCAGCGTTTAGTGGCTCCATGGGGGGGGGGCACCGAAGGCTCAAATGCCAGCGTTCGCATGCGGCCACCGAACCAATTTTGGCACACCCCTCACACGTTTCGTGGCCCCACAGGGAGCCCCACCGAAGACCCATATGCCAGCGTTCGCATGCGGCCACCGCACCCATTTTGGCACACCCCTCGCACGTTTCGTGGCTCCATAGGGAGCTCCACCGAAAACCAACGTCCCAGCGTTCGCATGCGGCCACCGCGCCCATTTTGGCACAGCCCTCATACGTTTCGCGGCTCCATAGGGAGCCCCACCGAAGGCCCAAATGCCAGCGTCCGCATGCGGCCACCGCACTCATTTTGACACACCTTCAGACGTTTCGTGGCCCCTCGGGGAACCCCACCGAAGGTCCAACCGTCAGCGTTCGCATGCGCCCACCGCACCCATTTTGGCACACCCCTCACACGTTTGGTAGCCCCATAGGGAGCTCCTCCTACTGCGGTGCATACAACGACGGTGTTCATAACTGCATGTGGTTGGGTCTTTCGCCAGACTAATGTTTTTCATCAAAAACAACCTATGGTGTTGGGTCTTCTTAATGAAGCGACAGCGCTCCGCGTTCCTCCTCCTCGTCCTCCTCGTCCTCCTCCTCCTCCTCCTCCTCCCCCTCCTCCTCCTCCTCCTCCTCCTCCTCCTCCTCCCCCTCCTGCTCCCATCCCTGCCTCTGTTCACCGCATGTCCACCATTTCGGCACACTCCTCACACGTTTCGTGGCCCCATAGGGAGCTCCACCGAAGGTCCCAGTGGCGGTGCCCACATGCGTCCGCCACACATATTTCGGCACACCCCTCACACGCTTCGCGGCCCCATAGGGAGCTCCATCCACGGCCCAGTGGGGGTGCCGACATGCGTCAACCATACCCACACCCAGCGCTTCGTGGCCCCATGGGCAGCTCCACCGAAGGCATCAGTGGCGGTGTTCGCACGCGTCTCCCATTCCCAGAACCGCGTTTCGTGGCCCCCCAGGGAGCTCCACCGAAGGCCCAAGTGGGGGTGCCCGCATGCGTCCGCCATTCCCAGAACAGCGTTTCGTGGCCCCCTAGGGAGCTCCACCGAAGGCCCCAGTGGGCTTGCCCGCGTGCGTCCGCCATTCCAAGAACAGCGTTTCCGGCGATGGCCCCAGTGGGGGTGCCCGCATGCGTCCGCCACACCCAGTACTGCGCTTCGCGGCTCCACAGGGGGCTCCACCGAAGGCCCCAGTGGGGGTGCCCACATGCGCCCGCCACACCCAGTGCAGCGTTTCGTGGCTCGGGAGCTCCACCTACAGCGGGCGCGGCCACATGCGTCCGCCCGACCCATCTCGGCACACCCTTGACACTTGACACGCTTCATGATCCCCCTCATAGGGAGCTCCACATGGGACCCCAGTGGCGACGCTCGCATGCGTCCGACCGAGTCATGTCGGCACACCCTTCGCACGTTTCGTAGTGCCATAGGGAGCTCCACCGAAGGGGCCCCAGCGGCGACGTTCGCATGCGCCCCCCCCGCCCATTTCGTTCGGCACACCCCTCACGCGCTTCGTGGCCCCATAGGGACAGCCACCGAACGTTCGCGTACGTCCCACCCATTCGTCCCCCCCCCTGCCCGCGCTGCCCCGCGCCTCGGTCTTTCTACGTCGCGCTGCCTATGAGAGCAGAGGGTATACCGCTCGCGCTATTCGGGGTTTGCGTGCTATTCGGGGTTTGCGTGCCCCCCTCCTTCGCCTCACCTCCCCCGCGGTTCTCGCCGCTGCACCTGGCTGCGCCTCTCGTCGGGCGGATCTCAGTCGGAGCGCTTCCGGTGCTTCACACTGGTGCTGCCGATGCAACGTTGGCTTCTTTTTAGAACGCCCCCGTCGTTCAAAGTGGCCCTCCCGCCACAGCGCGGGCCACACTTCTGAATCCGAGTCCTCCATCGTCGCTGTCGCCTCGCTTCGTCCCCTCCTTCGCCTTTCACTGGTCCGCCTGCTCGTCCCGTTCCTCGTGCTCCTGCTTGTGCTGCTGCTGTTCCTCCTCGTCCTCCCCCTCCCTCGTTCTCCTTCTCTTCCTCCTGCTTGTCTTCTTGTTCATTTACCGCCTCCTCCTCCTCCTCCTCCAATTTTTACAGTTCCCCCTTTTCTGACTGCGCATGGCACGATGGTGTCCTTTTTGAGCGTTCCCAGGTCCGCTATGACACCCGTCGGCGGATAGTGGGAAGAGACGGATGGGATTCGTCCGATGTCAGATATGGCGCGAGCGCACCTAGCTTGTCCTTCCCCCGCTCTTGAGATCCGACGTTGCAAACACATTAAAACATCGTGAGCAATCACGACTGGATCACCTGACCATATCTTTCTGCGCCATGTTTCGAGCCCGATCGATCCGTGAGGGTCCCAGGGCCCAAAACTGGGCGAAAACGCCCAGTGTGAAGAATTTGCAGCGCCCAGATCTGAGGGTTTCTCTTCTTCCGATGGGGTCCCGAGAAGTCCCGCCTTTTTCCCAAGGGCGAACTTTTCATCCCGAGTCGTTTTTTCTTGTTACCTAACAGCTTTTGCTGATAGGTTCCTAGTGGGATCAAAAGAGAGCATCTTGACGCCCCAGGGGGGTCTGGGCGGGATCCGGACAGATCCGGACAGATCCGGACAGCCCTATTAGGAATCCTTCGGAATTCTTAGGAATCGTTAGGAATCCATTCCCGGAACACCATTCCCAGGCCACATTTTGAATGCCTGGAGCCAACCGTAGGCCACTTCGTGTTCTTCGTGTTCCCAGAACACAATTCCCAGGCCACATTTTGAATGCCCGGAGCCAGCTGTAGGCCACTTCGTGTTCTTCGTCTTCCCAGAACACCATTCCCAGGCCACATTTTGAATGCCCGGAGCCAGCTGTAGACCACTTCGTTTTCTTCGTGTTCCCAGAACTCCATTCTCAGGCCACATTTTGAATGCCCGGAGCCAGCTGTAGGCCACTTCGTGTTCTTCGTGTTCCCAGAACACCATTCCTGTAGTATATTTTGACTAGAACCACGCGCGCGCTTCGCGCGCGCTTAGGTTCTAGCTAGGCTTCACGGTCGAACTTTGAAGACCTCTATTTTGTGACCAATCCCTCTGGGGAGCCCAAGAACTACGCCAACGGCTCAAGTGACTTCCAAGACCTCCTGAGGCCTTTTCCGCAGCGGCCTAAGAATGGGCCAAGAAATCGTCGTCGTCGTATAGCTGGGTATGTTCGGATCCGCAAGACGACCTTGCCGGACCCCCTTTGGGAGACCTCTTGGAGGCATCTTGGAGCTCTCTTGGCGCCTCCTGGAGCCTCTTGGGGCCGAAAGCTCGGAATTCTACAATGGCTTTCTCCCTCTGGGACCCCTCTCGGGCACGCCTTGGGGCTCTCTTAGGCCATTTTGGAGTCCAATTTTGCCGTCCTGGGCGCCTCGTGAACCGTCTTGGAACTCTCTTGGGGGCCACCTAGGCCGTCTTGGGAGCCTCTTCGGACGTGTTGGACGCGGTGGAAACCCAACAGGCGACCATGCGAAAAGTATACGTTTTCCCATAGGAATGGGACCATTTTTGCTTCTTGGACCTCTCTTGGGGTGCCTCTCGGAACGTCTTGGGCTGATTTTGGAAGCCTTTTGGCGCCTCTGGGCGGCGTTTTGGCGCCTCCTGGGATGTGTTGGGCCGGAAGCTCGGAATTCGAGAGTGGCTTTCTCCTTCTGGGACCCCTCTCGAAGTCGTCTTGGGGTTCTCTTGGGCCGTCTTGGGGCCGTCCTGAGCCACTCGTGCGCAGCCTTGGAGCGCTCCCAGAGGCCTCCTAGGCCGTCTTGGAGGCCTCTTGGGCCGTCTTGGACGCGGTGAAAGCCCAAGAGGCGAACATGCGAAAATATACGTTTTCACAGCAGAATAGCACGATTTTTGTTTCTTGGACCTCTCTTGGGGTGCCTCTCGGAACGTCTTGGGGTGCTTTTGGGAGCCTTTTGGCGCCTCTTGGCGGCATTTTGGCGCCTCCTGGAGCCTCTTGGGCCGGAAGCTCGGAATTCGAGGTTGGCTTTCTCCGTCTGGGACCCCTCTCGAACTCGTCTTGGGGCTCTCTTCGGCCGTCTTGGGGCCGTCCTGGGCCACTCGTGCGCAGCCTTGGAGCGCTCCCAGAGGCCTCGTAGACCGTCTTGGGCGCCTCTTGGGCCGTCTTGGACGCGGTGAAAGCCCAAGAGGCGAACATGCGAAAAATATACGTTTTCCCATAGGAATGGCACGATTTTTGCTTCCTGGGTCTCTCTTGGGCTGCCTCTCGGAGCGTCTTGGAGGCTTCTGGGACCTTCTTGGTGTCATGACAGGCGTCTTGGAAGGCATCTGGAGCCATGGGAGCGCGTTCCGAAGCCGCCTGCGAACGATCTTGGACGGCGTCCGGCGGTCCGACGAGCCTCCGGGCCCCCCGGGGCCCACATTTGCGGTCGGGGTCCCGGCCCCGGGCCCCCGGACCCGGTGCGCCGTTATATTTTGATTGCCCGGAGCCAACTGTGGGCCACTTCGTGTTCTTCGCCTTCCCAGAACACCAGTCCTGTGCCATATTTTGAATTTGTGCTAGGCCTGAGGCTATTTTGAATGAGGCAGGCTGAGCTGAGGCAGGCTGAGGCTGAGGCTGAGGGCAGGCTGAGGCCGAGGCAGGCTGAGGCTGAGGCTGAGGCAGGCTGAGGCTGAGGCTGAGGCTGAGGCAGGCTGAGGCTGAGGCTGAGGCTGAGGCTGATGCAGGCTGAGGCTGAGAGGCTGAGGCAGGCTGAGGCTGAGGCAGGCTGAGGCTGAGGCTGAGGCTGAGGCAGGCTGAGGCCGAGGCTGAGGCAAGAGGCAGGCTGAGGCTGAGGCTGGCTGAGGCAGGCTGAGGCTGAGGCTGAGGCTGTGGCTGAGGCTGAGGCAGGCTGAGGCAGGCTGAGGCTGCGCAGGCTGAGGCTGAGGCTGAGGCCGAGGCAGGCTGAGGCTGAGGCCGAGGCAAGCCGAGGCAGGCTGAGGCTGAGGCTGAGGCTGATGCTGAGGCAGGCTGAGGCTGAGACAGGCTGAGGCTGAGGCTGAGGCAGGCTGAGGCCGAGGCAGGCTGAGGCTGAGGCCGAGGCAGGCGAATCCTTCGGAATCCTTAGGATTCCCTAGGAATCCTCAGGAATCCCTGGGAATCCATAGGAATCAGGATTCCTAAGGATTCCTAAGGCTTCCTAAGGATTCCTATGGATTCCTAAGGATGCCTAAGGATGCCTTAGGAATCCCTAGGAATCCTTAGGATTCCATTGGATCCTAAGGCTGTTGGTTGCCACTGCGACTGTCATTGCGAATGCGACTGCGACTGCGAGAACATCAGAATTCTACAACTGGATTCTCACCTGAATCTTAAGGGGAATGCTTCCAGATATGCTTATACACATCGCTGTTAGGTTGCTTTTCCGGGATAATTTTGTTTTGTTTTACGGCCCCAGAGCCCAGCAAAGGTTCCCAGGGGAAACCAGCCAAGAGCCTTCCGTTTCGTTTTTTGTTCACGATGCGGGCATGTCTGGGTCTCTTCCCCTCGCCGCCCTCTCCCTCTCTCCCCCAGGGTCGTCCTGCCTCCCTGGACTGGGAACCCCGTGGCTCCCGACGAAGGTTCGTAGAGGGGGCGTTATCCCAAGGTGGGGCTGGGGGACGAACCCAACTGGATGCTCACAGTTCCTTATTATAGGGGCCGTTTGGATAGACTTTCCTCCATTTTCCTTCTACATCACCCCTGCCCCTATTCATGGAGAGCAAAAACACCCTTAAACCTAATAGCACGATGAAGACGTGGCCTCACTTAGGACCCCGTCTTCGTAGGAGGATAGATCTGCGCGGTTGTCTGATGCATCTGCAGAGCAAAAAATCCCTGATCCTTCCTGTTGTAAGTTAAGTCCCCCCCTCCCACAAGCTTAGGGGTACTTGTTGTTTCTCACCTGCCCCAGCTTTGCCTCCCTCCGATCCCCGGAGACCGTGCCACGTTCCGCCTCCCAGGAGCCTGCCGCGGGGCTGCCCGGCCGACGAGCACGGAGGCGAGCGAGGGGCCGCAGCCGCGCCGCCGCCGCCGCCGCGGGAGACGACGATGACGCAAACCTCGACGACAGCGTCGGCGACGACGGCGACGGCGACGACGACGACGACGGCGACGGCGGCGACGACGACGGCGGCGGCTGCGGCGGCCACCTCAGATCCGGGTGTTGCATTTTTTCCCAACCATCCTGTGGTGTTGGGTCCTCGTTTTGAAGAGACGGTCCCCGCGCTCCTTCCTTCCTTCCTCCTCCCCCCTTCCTCCCTCCTCCCGTCCCCCCCCCCACACCCCTCACACGTTTCGTGGCCTCATAGGGAGCTCCACCGAAGGCTCCAGTGGGACCGCCCGCATGCGTCATCCACCACTCAGTACAGCGTTCGTGGCCCCATAAAGGGGGCTCCACCGAAGGCCCCAATGGGACCGCCCGCATGCGTGATCCACCACCCAGAACAGCGTTTCGTGGCCCCAGAGGGAGCTCCACCGAAGGCCCCAGTGGGACCGCCCGCATTCGTCATCCACCACCTAGCACAGCATTTCGTGGCCACATGGGGAGCTCCACCGAAGGCCCCAGTGGGACCGCCCGCATGCGTCATCCACCACCCAGCACAGCGTTTCGTGGCCCCATAGAGGGCCCCACCGAAGACTCCAACGGGACCGCCCGCATGCGTCCTCCACCACCCAGTACAGCGTTTCGTGGCCCCATTGGGAGCTCCACCGAAGGCCCCAGTGGGACCGCCCGCGTGCGTCATCCACCACGCAGTACAGCGTTTCGTGACTCCATGGGGAGCTCCACCGAAGGCCCCAGTGGGACCGTCCGCATGCGTCATCCACCACCCAGAACAGCGTTCGTGGCCCCAGAGGGAGCTCCACCGAAGGCCCCAGTGGGACCGCCCGCATGCGTCATCCGCCACCCAGCACAGCATTTCGTGGCCCCATTGGGAGCTCCACCGAAGGCTCCAGTGGGACCGCCCGCATGTGTGATCCACCACCCAGTGCAGCGTTTCGTGGCCACATGAGGAGCTCCACCGAAGGCCCCAGTGGGACCGCCCGTATGCGTCATCCACCATCCAGTACAGCGTTCGTGGCCCCAGGGGGAGCTTCACCTAAGGTCTCCGTGGCGGAACTCGCATGGCGGCCCAGTGGCGGAGTTCGCATGGCGGCGGCTTTCGATTTTCGGAGGTTTTTCGTCGTATCCGACGTGTTGAGGCGGCTTTCGGTCCGCGCATCCCGGGCGAGAGCCAGCTTGCTCGCTCTCTCTGCTCCGCGCAGCGGACGACCCGCGCGCGTCGCGGGGATCCCTTCGGGGCGACCAGCGCGCGTCACGGGGACTCCGTGCGGCGCCGCGCCCGCAGCCTTGGACGTGAGCGTGCACGGGCAAAGAGGGAGAAGAAGAACGGGAAGTAAGCGGGCGCGATCCTCGTGAGAGGCGTGCCGACATGGGCGTCGACATATATGCACGTAGACACGCGCGCGCAGATTCATCCACAATCAGACTCACTCGCTCTCAGTCTCTCGCGCACAGACCTATCGTCTTCGCTCGCTTTGTGTTCCCCGCCACGCATGTCGGCACGCCCCTCGCACGGTTCGTGGCCCCATAGGGATCGCGGGCGAAGATGATATTCATAATTGCGGTTTGTGCGGTTTTTACAAATGTATATGCTTGGGTCCTTCGCCCGGCTAATTTCGCACCAGGCGTCCTCTCACAGCTCGGGAACACGTAAGATTCGAGTGCGCCGGGATTCGGGTTTGCCCGCGTTTTTTGACGAGCTCGTCCTGGACTTTGACGGTCCAGTTTTCGTGGGATGTGTGCAGCGTGAGTTCGCTTCAAATTTCCGATTGGGTCTCGTCATTTTTTCGATGGCCCCGTCAGGCCAACCCAAGTCCCCCGCACCCGAGTCCCACGTTTCCCCGAACAGACAGGGACCATCACATATCGATGCGTCTCGAAAGCTGCTGCAGAGATACGGGGTCCAGGGCCCCCGTCGTTTCTTTTTTCCCATCCATCCTGTGGTGTAGGGTTTTTCGCTTTGAAGAGACAGCGCGCCGCGTCTCCCACCTCTCCTCACTACTCCTGCCCCTCATGCCCCTCCTCCCCCTCGTTCTTCTCCCCCACCCAGTGCAGCGCTTCGTGGCCCCAGGGGGAGCTCCACCGATGGTCCCAGTGGCGGTGTTCACATGCCTCTCCTCCGCTCAGTACAGCGCGTCGTGGCCCCATGGGGAGCTCCACCGAAGGCATCAGTGGCGGTGTTCGCATGCGTCTCCCCCGCCCAGTTCAGCGTTTCGTGGCCCCTTAGGGAGCTCCACCGAAGGTCCCAATGGCGGTGCTCGCATGCGCCCTCCCGGCCCAGTACGCACAGCGTTTCATTGCCCTTTCGGACGCTCCATTGAATTCCCCAGTGGCGGTGTTCGCTGCGTCTCCCCCTGTTGTGTGATGCCCGTTTACATGAATTGTTGCGCAGTCCAGATCCCGGGGGTGGCATTCGCAACCCCTTTCATTCATCAGTCCTTTCCTCCTCCGCCCGCTTCCTTCTCCGCTCTCCTCCCTTCCATTGTGTGCGATTTTAGTTGTGCGGCTGGTTAGGCCTCATGGGGATGTCCACGTTGCAGGGACGGGCGCTGTTGATGTCGCGCTCCTCACTCCTCCCGGCGCCGCGGCGTCGTCGTCGTCGTCTTCGTCGCCGTCGTCGTCCACGACTGGGGGAGGGGTCCAGAGTTCAGGGTCCAGGGCCCGAGGAATAGCCCAGAGCCCAGCAGGCGATGGTGCAGTGTGCAGGGGTCCAGGGGACGAGGTTGCAGGGGTCAGGGGTCCAGGGGTCCAGGGTCCAGGTTCAAGCAGGGGCCGAGGAGCAGGAGCAAAAGGAGGACGGGGACGAGAACGCCGACGACGACGAGGACGAGGACGAGGGCGAAGAGGAAGAAACAATGAGGAGGAAGAGGAGGAGGGGGCTAGCGCGCCGGGGTCGCGTCAGGTTCGGTTCGGCCGATTCGGTTCGACGACTGGTTCTCGGTCTTCGGTGCGGTTCGTAGCCATCATGTCAATAGCGGCCCCAGGTTCCACTCCGTGCGTCACCAATGGTTGGGACCTCAACTAGAACCTAAGCACGCGCGAAGCGCGCGCGTGGTTGTAGTACATGTGTATATCTATATTGACATGTATACATACACGTATGTGTGTATATAGTTTTTTTTTAACATACATGTATACATACACGTAGGTGTATATATATATATACAATGTAAATATGCTTTGTCACTGAACCCGGCCCGACCCCAATTAGGGGTAAATGTCTTATTGCGTAGGCGCAGTGCTTTGCATTGTTCGGCATTGCTTGGCATTTCTTGGCATGGCTTTGCATGGCTTGGCATTGCTTGGCTTTGCTTCGTGTTATTGCTTCGCGTTGCTTGTCATTGCTTCGCGTTGCTTGGCAATGCTTGGCATTGCTTGGCATTGCTTTGCATTGCTAGGCATTGCTTGGCATTGCTTGGCGTTGCTTGGGGAGGCCGGGGAACCTGAGGAACCCGAGGAATTCGGGGAACCCGAGGAACCCAGGGAACCCGAAGAACTTGATGAACCCGAAAACCCGAGGAACCTGGGGAACCCGAGGAACCCAGGGAAGCCGAGGAACCCAGGGAACCCGAGGAACTCGAGGAACCCCGGGAACCCGAGGAACCCAGGGAACCCGAGGAACCCGAGGAAGGTCTGGGGAACGGGCAAAGTTGGGTCCCGAGACACCGTTTTTCTTAATCAAGTAAGAACCCTTACGCAAGCCTAGCTGGGGGAACAACCAACAATTTCGTACATATTTCAAAGTTGAATCATAATCAGCCTGTGGCGTTGCAATTTGTGGTTCTAAGAAGTATGCGCGCACTCTTGCGAATCAGTTGGAGAAATCGAATCTGTTTCAACATTGTCATCCAATGCGACCAATTTGGTCTCTCGCGCGCGCATGTCTGAATTATTTGGACGCCCTTGTTCGCTTGCTTGGGGGGCACGGCTGTGGTCAGATGATACCATGTGGACTATTCGCGTCCGTCGGCCGCGCTCGCATGTTGAAATCCTTCAAAGGCCTTCATCACCGACACGTGGGCACCATCATCGTCATCGGCGTGATCAGCATCGGTACCGCCATTGGCCCTGCTGTCGTGTATGCCGTTGTCGACATCGCCATGGTACCGCGCCCGACCGAGTCACCTACCCACATTGAAGTGCCCGCGCGTCAGCGCGGCACTGTCGACGCGCGGGGAGCTCTCCAGCGATCAGCGCCACCGCGGCCACGTTGGTCGCGCTAGTCTAGCTGCCCGCTCTGCGCGCGAGCCTGCGCGCGCTAGCGCGGCCGCAGCGGAGCGCCATCCAGCGCCAAGCAGTCATCGCAGTCGTGGCCGCGTGGGTTGCGTTTCAAGTTGTGGGTGGGTGGGTGGGATGAGTGCGTCAGCAGTGGTGTTGACAATTCACTGCGCGCAAACATTAATTCTCTTTTCTAAAAAAAAAAAAAAACAGAACAGCATCTACCCCGCGTTATCACTCTCCCTTTCGGGTATGTAAATCATGTATGATTCTGACCACATGTCCATCCTAAATGCAGTTAGCGCTATCCCAGGGGGGGCCGGTCCCCCCCCCTGAGGGTCCCTTGTAAAAAAAAACACTATGCGGTGACATTTTTGGTTATAACATAACACTTTGTCACGAATCCCTTGCAAAAAAAACGGGCCGAAGTGCACACGCGCGCGTCGTCGCGCGCGCATGCCGAAATCCTTCAAGAACTTTCGGTGCCGGAAGGATTTCGCAATCGAGTTTCCAAAATATCATGCAACACGCAAGGTTTCGCAACACTGATTTGCTAAACAAGTTTCCGCGCGAGCTCTTGCGAAGTCTGAAGAAAACCATAGGTTTTTTTTCATGATTTTCACAACCTGTTATTAAACGGGCTTCTCGCGCGCATGTCGAAATCAGTCGAGCGCCCTTGCGCGTGTGCCGGCGCGAGAATCTTCTGCAAAAAACAAACGAAGTGCAGAGGCGCGCGTCGTCGCGCGCGTATGCCGAAAACCTTCAAAACGCATCGGTTTCGGAAGGATTTCAAAATCGTGTGTCCAAAGAACCTACAAAACACAAGGTTTCGCAACACGGATTTTCAACGAAAGCGTGTGCGCGCGCTCTTGCGTCGTCGTCGTCGTCGTCGTCGTCGTCGTCGTCGCCGTCCTCCCTCCTCCCGCGTCGACGTCGTCGTCGCCTACGTCGTCCTCTGTTTTTCATCGTGTTCGTCGTCGTCGTCGTCCTCTTTGGCGTCGTGGTCGTTTCCGTCGTCGTTGTCGCCGTGGTCGTCCTTCCTCCTCCTCCCTCGTCGTCGTCGTCGTCCGTCGTCGGCGTCGCGTCGTCGTCCCTCCTATTTCGTCGCCGTCGTCATCGTCGTCGCCGTTGTCGTCGTCGTTCTCCCTCCTCCCTCGTCGTTGTCGTCGTCGGCGCCACCGTCCTTCCTCCTTCTTCGTCGTTCGCGTCGTCGCCGTTCTCCCTCCTCCCTCGTCGTTGTCGTCGTTGTCGTCGTTGTCGCCGTCGTCGTCGTTCCTCCTCCCTCGTCGTCGTTTTCGTTGGCGACGTCGTCGTCTTCGTCGTCGTCGGCGTCGGCGTCGTTGTCGTCGTCGAAATTGTCGGAGACGTCGTCGGTGTCGTCGTCGTCGCCGTCGTCGTCGTCGTCGGCGTCGTTGACGTCGTCGTCGTCGTCGTCGTCGTCGTCGGTGTCTTCGTTCTCGTCGTCGAGGTGGTTGGAGGCGTCGTCGGTGTCGTCGTAGTCGGTGTCGGCGGCGCCGTCGTCGTCGTTGTCGCTGTCGTCGTCGGCGTCGGTGTCGTGGCCAAGTGTCAAGTGGTACGTACCGTCTCGGTCTTGGCTGAAGAGGTCTGGCGACCAAGTTGCGGGTGGGAGGGTGGGATGTTTGCGCGAGCAGTGGAGAGGACAGTTTCAACACAGTCAAAGATTAATTCTCCTTTCTACAAAGAGAATAATAGACTGGACCCCCCCCCCGGACTTAACGCTTCCCCTTGGGATAGTATAATTTCATTATATCCTGCACACTCGCCCATCCTAAATATGAAATCATACCATCCCAGGCAGGCCGGTTTCCCCCCCTGAGGGTCCCTTGTAAAAAAACACTGTGCGGTGACATTTTTTGTTCTAACATAGCACTTTTTCACGAATCACTTGCACAAAATGAAACGAAGTGCACACGCGCGCGTCGTCGCGCGCGCATGCCGAAATCCTTCAAAAACCAGCGGTGCCGGAAGGATTTCGCAATCGAGTTTCCGACAAACATACAAAAACACATGGTTTCGCAACACTGATTTGCTAAAAAAGCTTCCGCGCGAGCTCCTGCGAAATCTGAAGAAAACCATAGGTTTTTCACAAAATGCTACCAAACGGGCTTCGCGCGCGCGCGCATGTGGAAATCTGTCGGACGCCCTTGCGCGTGTGCCGTCGCGAGAATCCTTTGCAAAAAACGAGACGAAGTGCAGACGCGCGCGTGGTCACGCGCGTACGCCGAAAACCTTCAAAACCCATCGGTTTCGGAAGGATTTCGAAATCGCGCGTCCAAAAAACCTACAAAAACCCAAGGTTTCGCAACACGGATTTTCAACAAAAGCGTGCGCGCGCGCTCTTGCGTCGTCGTCGTCGTCGTCGTCGCCGTCCTCCCTCCTCCCGCGTCGTGTCGTCGTCGTCGCCTACGTCGTCGTCGTCGTCGTCCTCTTTGGCGTCGTGGTCGTTTCCGTCGTCGTTGTCGCCGTGGTCGTCCTTCCTCCTCCTCCCTCGTCGTCGTCGTCGTCGTCCGTCGTCGGCGTCTCGTCGTCGTCCCTCCTATTTCGTCGCCGTCGTCGTCGTCGTCGTCGTCGTCGTTGTCGTCGTTGTCGTCGTCGTCTTGCCTCCTCCCTCGTCGTTGCCGTCGTCGGCGTCGCCGTCCTTCCTCCTTCTTCGTCGTTCGCGTCGTCGCCGTTCTCCCTCCTTCCTCGTCGTTGTCGTCGTTGTCGCCGTTGTCGCCGTCGTCGTCCTCCCTCCTCCCTCGTCGTCGTCTTCGTTGGCGACGTCGTCGTCGTCTTCGTCGTCGTCGGCGTCGGCGTCGTCGTCGTCTTCGTCGTCGTTGTCGGCGTCGTCGTCGTCGCCGCCGTCGTCGTCGTCGTCGTCGTCGCCGTCGTCGTCGTCGTCGTCGTCGTCGTCGTCGTCGTCGTCGTCGGCGTCGTCGTGTCGTCGTCGTCGTCGTCTTCGTCGTCGTCATCGTCGTCGTCGTCGGCGTCGGCGTCGTCGTCGTCGTCGTCGTCGTCGTCGTCGTCGTCGTCGTCGTCGTCGTCGTCGTCGTCGTCGTCGTCGTCGAAGTCGTTGGAGACGTCGTCGGTGTCGTCGTAGTCGTTGTCGGCGGCGTCGTCGTCGTCGTTGTCGCTGTCGTCGTCGGCGTCGCTGTCGTTGGCAAGTGCCATTTGGTACCCACCGTCACGGTCTTAAGAGATTTTGCGAACCAAGTTGCGGGTGGGTGGGTGGGATGTTTGCGCGAGCAGTGGAGTGGTCAAGCGCGGTGCAGGGTAGTCAACTGCACCACATAGATCGCGCCGCGTAGCTTGCACCACATAGCATGCACCACACACATTGCACCACGCAGATGGCACCAAGTATATTGCGCCACATCGATTGCACCACGCGTAGTATCAGAACGCACTGTTTGGGTTCCACGTTGGCGAACATCTTTTTCGATGGTGATTTTTAGTGACGCCTGATCTCAGGGGAACACGACGACGGCATCGGCGACGACAGCGACGAGCGGCGTTGGCGACGACAGCGACGACGACGACAGCGACGACGAGGACGACCTTGACGACTGGCGGCGACGACGGGTGGTTCACAGGGCTTGTCGGTGGCGTCCCGAGGTCTCCTGCTCTTCTTCTTCCTCCTCCTCCTCCTCCTCCATTCCTCCTCCTCCTCCTCCTCATCTTTAGGTCTGGGACAGGTTCGAACCCTCCAGGTTTCCACGCGTTTTTTCAACCTTTCGGGGCCTCTGGGTGGCTCCTTGTCGCCGCGGTTCTCGCCGCGAAGCCCAGGTCAGAACGCAGTCCATGAGATGCCCAAAGGCATATTGTTTGCAAACGCGTCGCCGTCGCGTCGTCGATCGATCGATAGATCGATCATCGAGGATCGACGTTCGTGGACCGAAGGCTTTCAAAGGGTCAGTCGGTGGTTTTCTCCCCCTCCTTCTTCGGGTCGGGCGGCGCGCGGGGGACTGCGGCCGAAGGCTCTCTCCGGTGGCCTTCCCGAGGGGTCCTTCGGGGGCCGTCGCGGCCAACGGCCAGGTCCGCCCCGGAGTTGCGGGTCTGGGCCTCAAGTTCGAGCCGTCGCCGTCGCCGTCGTCGTCGTTGTCGTCGTCGTCGTCGTCGCCCACCTCCATCTCGGCGTCCTCGGCCTCCACGTCCTCCCCCGCCTCGGCGTCCTCCACCTCCTCGTCCTCACCCTTCCTTCTCGTCGTGCTGCTCCTCTTCGTGCTCCTGCTGCTCCTCCTTCCCCCTCGTGGTTGCCCTCCTCCCCCGCGCTCTCCTCCCCCCCCTTTCCCTCCACTGTTCCTCGGTCCGGGTCCTGCTCTCCCCTCCCCCGAGACATGGCCCGAGAGGGGCGCGCTCCCTCCGCGTCGTTTTTTTTTTTTTTTTTTTTTTTTTTTTTTTTTTTTTTTTTTTTTTTTTTTTTTTTTTTTTTTTTTTTTTTTTTTTTTTTTTTTTTAAAAAAAGTTATTCTTAAGACAACAGTATGGCAACACACGCCAGCTGGCCCGTTTTGTGTTTCGGATGTGGTCTTCAGGTCAGAGGGTTCTCGGTCCCTCCGAAGCGGTGCTCCCGCCGCAGCAGTGGCCTCATTTTCGGATCGGCGCTGTGCCCCCGTCGTGCAGAAGGGCGCCCTCGCCCCTGCGCGGGCCCTCCTTTCCGTTCTCGGCTTTCCCCTGGTTATTCTGTTGCTCCCGATCCTTCCACTCCAGTTCCTGCTGCTGCTGTTCGTCCTCGTCCTCCTCCTTACTCATCCTCCTCCTCCTTTCCCTCCTGCTCATCCTCCTGCTCGCCCGCCACCTCCTCCTCCAATGTACAAGCTCCCATTTTCAGACTGCGCATAACACGATAGGGGTCCTTTGACACCCGTCCACGGATAAATAAACATCCGCGCAAAGGGGCAGGGATAGGTCGGAGGGGTATGATGTCAGATATGGCGCGAGCGCACCCAGCTTTTCGCTTTTCTCCCCTCCCTCCTCTCCTTCCTCGGTCCTCCCTCCTCCCTCTTCCCCCCTCCCTTCTCCCTCCTCGGCCCTCCCTCCTCTCTTCTTCTGCTTCTCCTCATCTTGCTTCCCCTTCCCTACCCTCGTCGTCGTCGTCGTCGTCGTCGTCCTCTTCCTCGTCCTCGTCCTCGTCCTCCTCCTCCTCCTCCTCGTCCTCCCCCTCGTCCTCCTCCTCCTCCTCCTCGTCGTCCTCCTCCTCCTCCTCCTCCTCCTCCTCCTCCTCCTCCTCCTTCTCCTCCAGTCCCTCGGCGGCGGTGAGGCCACTGCAGGGCGCGTGTGCGTGTGGGCTCTGCTCGATCCGCCTCGGGCCCGTCTCCGGCCACCCCCCCCCCCCTGGGAGGCACCGCCCCCCCCCTGCCCGCCTCGGGCCCGACCCCGGCATGCTTCTCGCCGCCCCCGCCTCGAGAGAAGCGCCCCCGGCATGCTTCTCGCCGCCCCCGCCTCGAGAGAAGCGCCCCCGGCATGCTTCTCGACGCCCTCGAGAAGCGCCCCGGGCCGGGCGTCCGGAGAGCGCCCGGCGCCGCCGACGGCGCCGCCGACGCCGGCGCCGGCGGCGCCGCCCTGGGGGCGCCGGCGGAGGCCGCGGGCGCCCGCCCGCCCCCCCCGCCGCCGCGCTCCCCGCGAGGCGGCGGCACCTGGAGGCGCGGCGGGGGCTCCGGCCGCTGGCGCGGCGGCGGCGGCGGCGGCTGGCACGGCGAGGCCCCGACGGCCCCCCCCCCCGCGCAGCGCCGTCGGCTGGCCCGCCGCCGCCGCCGCCATGGGCCCTCGGTGGCCTTCGCGGGCCTTCGGCTTCAGGGGCCGAGGCTCGCTGGTTTTGAGCGTCCGGGGGCACCCTCGTGGCCACGGCGGGATCCGCCTGGAAATTTTGGGGCAGGACGCATCCCAGGGGGGGCCCAGGGATCGAGGCCGCCTCAGACCTGGGCGTCGCATTTTTTCACGCTGGGCGTCCTGGCCCGGCTTCGGGCCGCAGGACCATCACGGATCGATGCAGCTCGGACAGTGCAACAGATCTTTGGGGTCGGGGCTCCGGTCGTGATTTTTGGGCATGTTGTAATATGTTTGCAACTTCGGATCTCAGGGAAGGGGGAGGGACAAGCTAGGTGCCTGGTGCGCTCGCTCCATATTTGACACCCTACCCATCCCACCCATCCTTTCCTTAGCTGCCCCCATACGCCCGTGCCGTGTTCCAAACTTCCGTGTTAACACGCTGCGTGTTGGTTTGGCACGTGTTGTCAAACGTTTTGGCGAAAGTACCCCGCCAGACCTACGTGTTCAATCTGCAGAGTGCTCATTTCTAATCCGGTGTACTTGCAATTCCAGCCTGGGGCCTTGAGCGGGTCTAATTTGTAGTTCGTCGGAGGAATTAGACATGAGCAGTGCTCAAAGGTTGAACTCCTCGAGTTTGGTCTTCCAGTAGGCCCGCGGGTGATGCGATGGGCAGGATGACGACGACGGCGGCGCCAACGATGATAATGACCCAGCGCTCGTCGCCCGTCGCAGGCCACATCACCAGGGGCAAACGCCCTGGCGTGCTCTCCTTTCCTGCGTCGCCGGCCCGGTCGTCGGAGGCGCCCTCCTGGCATCACCATTTGAAGCCTTCGTCGACGGGCGGCCTCGGGGGGGGGGGGGGGGGGGCAGGGCAGGGGAGAGTCGGGGGGCTCCTCTGCGAAGGCCGGGGGAGGGTCAGATGCTGATCCGAGCCTGGGGCGCGGCACCAGCTTTCGATGCCGCGAGCCGACCGCGGCATCCGGTTCCGAAGCGGGGCCGCGGGGGGCAATCAGATTCTGCTGCGGGGGCTGCCTGGCCGCGTCTCTCCGCCGCGCCCTGCGGGGCGCTCTGCCAGGGGTCGGGCCCCTGCGAGAGGGCGGGCTCCGGGCTTGCGCAAGAGATAGCTAGGGAGCGAAAGACGCAGCAAGCAAGCGAGCACGGCTTAATCACCTCTCGTTTGCAATTCGCAGGAGGACTCAGAATTGAGCGGGATTGCGCATGAGCGAAATTGGAAGTGAGGGCTCTGTACGTGTTGAGCTCCATGTCAACACGCTACGGGTTGCGTGTTACGTGTCGGGGGGACGACGACGACAACGACGACGACGACGACGAGGGTGGGGGAGGGAAAGCAAGAAGAGGAGAAGCAGAAGGATAGAGAAGGGAGGACCGAGGAAGGAGAAGGGAGGGGGGAGGAGGGAGGAGGGAGGACCGAGGAAGGAGAAGCGGGAGGGGAACACAAACTAGGTGCGCTCGCGCCATATCTGACATCATACCCTGACGGCTGGGTATTCTAAATGTTCGGAGACGTCGGATCTCACGGCACGGGCGGCCTCCAGCGCAGCGCTGGCGGCCGGCCCACCGCGGCCGGCGCGGGCCCCCGGCGGTCTTCGCGGACCTTCGGCTCAGTCGTTGCCGGCCAGTAGTGGGTCTGAGGCTCGTCGGGGGAAGACTCACCGGCGCACCTCGTGCCGGATCAGCTGGTTCGTCGGGGCGTCCGGATTTCCTTGACCCGGGTCAATCCAAGCCTGGGTCAGTCAAGCTTTGCAGGATCCTGCAAGATCTTGCAGGATTCTGCAGGGTCCTACACCCAAGCCCGGGTCAGTGCACCCCTGGCCCTGCGGGATCTTGCAAGATCCGGCGCTCTGGCTGACCCCCGTTTGCATTGACCCCCGTCTCTTGAGCCCCGAGGATGGTGTGCAAAAATCGAGTCCCAAGGGGATGCCAATGTTGTACACAGCCCCCTCTCCACGGTCTTGTGCCGGACCAGCTTGTTTGTGGGGGTGGTGTACAAAAGTCGTTTTCCCAGTGCGAGGTTTTCGGGCGGTTTCGTCGAATCCTGGCGGTATTCTAGCTTCTGGGTGCTCTCCAGCAGCTGCTCCTCCCCGAGAGCTCCCTCCCCGTCCCCTTCTTCGTGCGTCTCCTCCTCAGGGCCTGGTGCGCAGCCGCCATGGGCGCATCCCTCGGGACAGCGGGCGCCCCTCCCATGTGGGAACCGTTGAGTGCCCCAGCCCAGGGCTCTGGCCGCGTCCAGGCCGCCCTTCTGGGGAGGCAGGCTGGGAGGACAGCCAGTTGGTGTCGTGGCTTTTTCGTTGTGCGTGTGTGTGTGTGTGTGTGTGTGTGTGTGTGTGTGTGTGTGTGTGTGTGTTTTCGTAATTCAAACTTTGCGCGGCCCGCTTAGCTTCGACCGGAAGAGGTGCGCTCTCGACCTGCGAATCAACATGTGTGTGTGTGTTTTCTTGGTGATGTTCGGCAGTCTCTCTGCCCGGCTTCCTGGGCTCTTCCTTGCACCGTGCATGTTGTTTTTTCTAACTTGCGCTCTCCAAGCGCGCCCACCACCAACGCTTTCCTGCACGCGACTTCCCCACGTTGTCCACTCACCTGCAATGTCAGGTGGAATTGACGCTACGCGTGGCCCGACTCAGCTTTCGCTGCATGTGGCGTCACTCGACCGCGGGATGCAGAGCAGTGTGCGCGTGTGTGCGCGCGCGTGCTTGTGTGTGTGTGTATGTGTGTGTGTGTGTGTTGAAGCAGCTGGGAGACGGATGGTTCGGCAGCAAACCACGAGAGCCTGGCATACCCTCTTGATTCCGTCTTTGCGTCGATTAGCGTCGACTGGTGTCTGGGAGTCGATGAGATAGCGCCGATTTAGCGTCGATCAGCGTCGATGTGGAGTCGACTAGCGCCGACCAGCGTGGATTCGCAAGAGCCGACAACACGGTATGGGAGGCTCCCCGAGTCTGCCGTGCGGGCCCGCTGTCTGGCACGACCTGCTCCCCTGGCGCCCTCAACATGGCTCGCCCCGCCCGCCTGGGCGGCGGGCTGGTAACTGCTGGGCCGGGCCGCCTCCGCAGCAGCTCGGGAAAGCCAGATCCCACGGACGAGCAGCTTCCCAGCGACGCCCGTTCATCCCTGCAACTTCGGCGCTTTCTTAGCCATCATCGCGGACAGTTCTCGCTGAAGAGGGTTCAGCTTGGTGATCGTTTTCTTATTCGTTGCTTTGCCGATCGGCGCGGGCCCTCGCACCCCCATTCCTCCCCCCCCATGGAGTAGATCTGGGCTGTTTTTGGAGCCTGGTTCGAGCAGGTGGAGCCTCCCCCATAGGACGCACGGTTGCAAACAGTCGCGCTACGCATAGGTCCGGAGCCAGAGCCCCCCTACTCCCCCCCCTCCGCCTAATGTCGAAACGGCCGGATAAGCAAACGTTCACTTGGGCGTCCAGGGCCCTTTGCGTCTTTGTCGCGCAGGCATCTGGTTCTGTCTGGTGGCAGTCGTGCCCTGACCCGCACCCGCTGCGGGGAAGCTCGACGGAAGGCTCTTGCCAGTTTGCGACCTCTGGGGGCCTGATCGTGCCCCGGGGCCATCGCACATTCAACCGGGAGGGGAGCGGGCCCCACAGGGGAAAGGATGGGAAGGTCCAGGCTGCTGGGGTCCACGCCGCGGGAAAGAATAACACGACGCCGGATGTCTGGGCAGTGGCGGCGGTGGTGGTGGTGGTAGCAAGGGTGGAGAGAGCCCCCACCCTGACACGTCGATTGGTCAATGGTCCGTTTTCGGTTCTCGAGAGGGCGCCGAGGCCGTCATTTTCCAGGCTTGCGCCCGCCAGGTTTTTGGGCCCGAGGTCGTTTTCACTAAACCACGTTTTACCAAAGGGAGTTCTGTCCATCCCCGATGGTATACATGCTGGGCGCTGAAGAAGGAACCCTTTTCGTTTGGGAGGGGCTCCGCGTTCCTTAGTTGTTTTACAGTGCTCCTTGGGTTATCCTGAGGTTTTCCATGGAACATCGGAGTTTAACTTATGGGCAAAGGGGCCTCGTTCCTTATTTAGGGTTCCTTGGGTCAACGCCCCAACTGCAGCAGTGAGGTGGGTGCGGCAAGCTCGTGCCGTGTCGGCGCGGCGACAGTCCCAGCGCGGGCGCTCGAGGTCGAGAGCCGCCGTTGGCCAGGAAGCCGCCGACATCGAGCGATCCGCGCGGTGTCAGATACCAACGCCCACGCTGTCACGACACGCACGACGAGGAGGAGGAGGAGGAGGAGGAGAAGGAGGAGGAGAAGGAGGAGTGCGCAGCCCCCCGGCGGGCGTCCAGCGGCCTCCCCGCATGTCCCGCGCCATGGGGTGTCCTACGGGCGGGCTGCGAGGGGCGCTGAGTCGTTGGCAGACCGCCGGGGACAGCCCTATAAATCGTTTGAATAAAACCTTCCCGTGTCTGCCCGGGGGGCCCTCGGCGGGTAGAAGACCGCTGGCGGCATGCGGTCGAAAGGGGGAAAAAGGAGGAGGAGGAGGAGGAGGAGAAGGACTGGCAGATTTTGCATCCGCCCTAGATCCGAATCCAAGAGGTGTTTGGAGGTCCCAGGATGCCCCCAGGAGATCCTTGAGTCGCAAGACATGCCGAGCTTGTTCAGAAGTCTCTCGGGACCTGCTGACACCCTTCTGATGATGACAACCACGAGGATGATGACGATGACAATGATGATGCTGCTGCTGCTGCCGCTGCTACTGCTGCTGCTGATGATGATGATGATGCTGCTGATGATGCTGATGCTGATAGTGTTGATGATGAGGATACGGATGATGACGCTGGTGACGGCAATGGGGGACGGTGCTGATACATGATAATGATGTTGATGATGCTGTTGATGATGCTGATGGTGATGATGATGATCATGATGATGTTGATGATACTGCTGCGGCTAATGACGGTGATGATGACGATGATGATGACCGTGATGATGACGATGTTGCCGTTGATGATGCTACTGACGATGATGCTGCTGCTGCTGATGAGGATGCGGGTATTGATTGTCACTGTGGTGGTGATATTGGTGATGCGTTTGTTGCGGATGTTTAGTCTGATGATGCTGTTGATGTTGTTGATGATGTTGATGATGATGCTGATGCTGGTGATGCTGCGGATGATGATGCTGATGCTGATGATGCTGATGATGCTGACGAGGAAAAAGGAGCAGGAGGATGAGGAGGAAGAACAGGAGGAGGAGGAAGAAGACCAGAAGGAACAGGCGGAGGACGAGGACGAGGACGGCGCAGGAGCTGGACAGCTGGATGGCCCCCTTCGACACGCTGTCCAGGAGGCCCGACCCGCAGGCGCTGCAGCAACAGCCGATGATGCAGCCCGCGCAGGCTCCAGCGGAGGCAGGGACGAGGTCATGCTGCGTCGTCGGGGGGCCTTGTCCGCCACATCGCGCCATCCGCGAACCCACCTCGACTCCACGTCAAATCCACGCATCCGAGCCGAATCCGAGCTGAATCCACGCCGAATCCGAGTCGAACATACGTCAAACGCCAGAAAAAGGACCGCTATCTGCTGGGCAGAAGGTGCTCCCCTGAAAGTTGCAACGTATTTTCTCATCCCTCCTCGTGTCCTCCTCCCTCTTCCGCTTCTGCTCTTCCCCTCCTGCTCTTCCCCTCCTGCTCTTCCCCATCCTGCTCCTCCTCGTCCTCCTCCTCCTCCTCCTCCTCCTCCTCCTCCTCCCACGTCCTCCTGCTCCTTCTCCCTCCCTCCTGCTCGGAGCTTCGAAGCAGTGGGCTTTCTCGACCGACGTCCGTTGCCCTCGCCCCCTCCTCCCCCTCCCCCCCCCTTCCCTCGTCCTCCATCTCCTTCTCCTCTTCCGCCCTTCCCTTCCTGCTTCTCCCTCTGTGTTCCCCCCTCCTCCCCTCACTCCTCCTCGACGCTTCGAGGTAGTGGGCTCTCTCGGCGGACGTTCGCAGCCAGCGTTTCCTCCTCGTTCTCCTCCGCAGCTATGCTGGCTCCAGGTCCTCGTTCCCCTCCTCCCTCTCATGCTCCAGCTTCCCTGCTCCTTCTCTCTCCTGCTTCCCCTCGTTTTCCCTGCCCCCCTATCCTGTCTTTTGGGCCGTGCTGGGCCCCGCGGGAGAAGAAAGGGGAGGAGGAGGGGGAGGAGGAGCAGAACGCGGAGATGAACGCATATTGCGGGAAGTGCCTTATTGGAGACAACCGTCTGATAATCTTCAATCGTGCCAAAACACCATGCTTTGGATTTCATCGCCGCGGATCTACGTGACTGTTGCGTCCCGGTAATGTCAAGTCGTGCCAGAACGCTCTCCTTGGGACTTCAGCGAATCGACTCAACGTGGCGGTTGCGCCCTGAGAAACCTAACTCGTGCTAGAACATAACCCCAGGGACGTCAGCCATACAGCTCCTAGAAGCGGCCGTGCAGCTTAAACAAACGAAGATGCGCGGCGCCTGGCGATAGCCACAGTTTGAAACGGAGCTCCCCTCGATCATGCAGCTGTTGCACAGCTTTAGAACGAATGTGCGCGGCGCTTGGCGAGCACAGCAGTTTTAAGACTGCACGCCCTCTATCCTTTGAGCTGCGATGAACGTTTCCAGACAAATATGCGCAGCGCTAAGGCGAGAACCACATTTTGAAAACTATCGTGAATCTTCTGCGAACCCTTACAACGCATGTGCGCGGCGCTACGGCGAAAACTACATGTTTAACGCCGATCGCCCTCCAAGTTTAACATGTTTAATCCGCGGCCAGTGCCAGGGTTGTTCAGCCCGACAGACTTTGCGAGAGGTGGTCCGCCCCACTCTCTCGCCTGCGCCCCCAGAGAAGCGCAGTCTCCATGGGAAAAAATATCGGCGAGCGTGGAACACATGCGAGGGTTGTCAGAATTTGGAGCTTGGAACTACAAGCTCATCGCCAACGACAGTTTCTGCCAGTGCGGGCACACAGTGCAGCTCTGGGCGCCGTGGAGCTCGGACATGCCGGTTGGACGCCCAGGCGCTTCAGCCACCGATAAGCAGATGCGCAAACTTTTCAAGGCTACGGACGTCCCGCCTGAGGTGGCGGAGGCGACCAAGGCCTCCCCCCAGGCTCAGGCGAAGAAACCGCCCCCCACGGACGCTTGAGAAACGGCTCAGAAGGCGAAGCAGGAGTTGCGGAAGGCGGAACAGGCGGCCCAGCGGGCAGCTTCGGTGGTGCTGCGGGCCCGCGGCGAGCTCGAGACGGCCGCTAAAGCGCGCGAAGAGAAGATCGCGGAGCAGGCCGTGGCGGAGGCGGCTTATCGATTGGCTTTCAGACCTTGCAGCAGGGACGCGCCCGTGACTCCCCACAGGCACAGGAAAACAACATTGTCATCGACTGTGATATCTTCGAGACAGCAGATCCCGATGATGTGGGCGATGCCGAAAAAAAAACCTTCACGCAGTACAAGGTGGAGTTCGACGCAGCACGGCCCCAGCTCGAGATGGCAGCCAAAAAGTTGCAGGACCCCATGGAGTCCATCAAGCGCTTCGAGCTGGAGAGGGCCGCCAAACGCAGGCGTGGGCAGGGGGGCGACGCGGGACTCAAGGGGTCGCCAGCTGGCATTGGCGCGGGCGCGGGTGCGGAGCCCGCCGACGCGGGCGGCGGTGCCGCCGCCGCGGCGCCGGCCTCCCCACCGCCTGCCGAGGCTGCTGGCCCCCCCGCGGTCGAGGGCGAGCAGCTCAAGTCCTTGGCAGCCGAGTCCCCGCGACAGGCGGCGGAGGCCGTCTCCGCGGCCGCCGCCCCCAGACCCGAGGCCCTCCCGCCCAAGGGCGCTGGGGCTGCTGCTGGGCCTGCTGCTCCTGCTCGCGAGCCTCGTGGGTGGCGCGGAGCGCCCTGCCGATGCGCGGCCTGGTCTGGAGGCCTCTCTGTTCTACGCGAACATCACGGAGCGGGGCCCGCAGGCTGAGAGGTGGCTAGCTTCTGATGGGAAGAAGTACCAGGTCGTCGCCATGGTCGAGACGCACATCTCTCAAGAAAGGCACCCGCGTGAGATTCCCAACATTGTTAAGGATGATTGGCGCTCCTCGAAGTGTGACGCGGTGCCCGCGGGCCGCTCGGCTCAGGGCGCGGCGGGGGGTGAGATGGTGCTCGCGCGCAAGTCGGTGGCGGCTCCCACGTCAGCTATATGCTCTGGACCCCTGCCGCGGATTTGCGCTTATGACGTGGCATCGCAAGACGGGCAACCTTGTGGTGACTGCCTTCAACGTTGAGCCGCATGGGGCGCTCGCGGGGCCAGTGCATGAGCGGATGGTGGCCTTCGCCTCCTTTCTGGACGTGCTAGCGGCCCCCATGGGTGTGTATTTGGCAATTGGAACATGCTATCTCAGCAGTTGGCAGATGGCGGATTCCCTGGAGAATGGGATGGGTCTATTCTGGTGGCACCAGGCTCGGTCGCGTGCGACAGGGGCGCGGGGTCCATCATCGATTACGCGGTGGTCGTGCGTGGGCTGGGGACCTCGGCGGTGCCCCGCCAGGTTCATGGTGTACCCTGGGCTACCCACTGCGGCATCGAGGTCTGAGCGGGGGAGTCTCAACCTTGGTGGTCTCAGGCATTGGATCTCCCTGCGGAGTTACCCTGCCTCCCCGCGCCCGCGACGTCGAGCCGACCCTGACAGCGGGGCCTCTCCGAGGAAGGAGGCGGCGCTGGAGAAGCGCCAGCGCCAGCTACCCGACGAGCTGCGTGGGGGCTTTTTTTGGAGGTTTCACAGGCTGCCGGTGAATTTGACGCCCCTGCGCTACTCGCGGCCACAGGGATCGATTATGTCAACGGGGTTGACTTTGCCATCCCCCTCGACCTTTGGAGGTGGCGCCAGGGCAACGCGATGGAGGCCTTGGGCTGCTACGACGCGGTTGGGCCCCCAGCGAAGGCGCGCTCGGGGCGCCCGGAAGGGAAGTCTCGCCTGCTGGAAAGGGAGCCATGTACTTTCCCTGGGAACGAATGCGGCACCACCAGCGACAGTGACCTGCCATCAAAGGGGGATGGGGGCCCGAAGAACCCACGCGGGTGGCCACGGGCCTTCACTTGTCGGAGCGTGCCCTCCCCCTTTGGAGCTGCGCGGCGCCATCGGGCGGCCTGGTCGTCTCTCTGGGAACGACTGCGGCGCCAACGGCGGCGACGTCTTGCCATTAGGGGGGGGGGGGGGGGGGCATGCGGGTGGCCGCGGGCCTTCAATCATCGGAGCGCGCCCTTCCCCTTTGGAGCTGCGCGGCGAGCGCGGGCCACGAGGGGCTGCCAGTGCAGCCCCCGTGAGGCCGCGTGGCCAACAGTCTTGGGGATTGCCAGTCCATTTCTTGCACGAGAGGAACCCCCAGTATGCTACTTGGATGGGGTTATCACTTGAGAAGGTGATCCTGCAGCATCGCGCCATCCTCGAGACGAAGCAGGCAGGCTGCAACGGACGAGCTCAGGGGGTGCGGTTCACATAGAAGGAGACTGCCTCGACCCCTGGACGCACGCATATCAAGCATGAGCCTGCTGAGTGGCGGGCCATCACATCGACCCTTGTGAAGAAGACGCTTGCGTTGTGCGGGAACCGCAAGCATGCGAGCCTCATCAAAGACCACAGCTATCCTCATGCGGAGGCTTCCGGACGTGGACGCTAGGAGAGCTAAGCTGTTGCCGAAGGTCGACGAAGAGGATGTCTTCAGATGGGCAGATCTGGTCCGCGCAATTACAGCATTGGACGATGAAGAGTGTGATGGGCTCATTCGCATGACGGAGGCTCGGGCGGGCAGAACAGCTGCACCTGCCTCTTACCAGTCTCATGAGAAGTACGCGGGATAGTCGGCAGACATGTGGAAAGCGAAGCCTGGAGTTTTACATCGGTCAGTCACTCCCCAGGAACAGCAACGATTGAAGATATATGTGAGTGGCCAGACGATCGCAAATCCCACGCTTATCATGGACAGCAAGAGACGAGAGCGGGAAAGAGTCTGGGGGCCACGCGAGACCAAGCCGCTCAGCAGATCCTGGACTCCTTGGACAAGGCTCGCCGGCGGCTTCAGGATGACCCTCCTGGGGCCATCTCGCTCGGCGAACTTGAGCGCGCTCCAGATCATGCCAGGGGCCAAGCCGTAATGGGGTAAACATGACATGACATGCCCTCGGGACATGATGCGATTACCAGATGAAGCATTCCAGCAGTACACGGACCTCTTAAATCAGATCGAGATGGATGGCGTCTGGCCGCCGCAGGTTTGTCAGGAGGGAAAGAAACACACAGGCGCAATTAATCTGTGATTCCCGTAGAAAGCATGGGAAACTATGGGAAGTGGGGGGGAGGCAACAAACCCAGCAAATCGGTGAACATATTGGGGGTATTTTTATTTGTGCGTTTTCATTTGCGTGTCCCAGGGCCCCTTCAGTTTGGTCGCGTTTGGAGCTATGGCGCCGAAGACAGCTGGGGGAGACCGTGTGCTGGGAGTTCTATTACGTATAGCCCGCATCTGGAGTCGCATTCGCTGGGCGGCCTCGGACATGTGGAGCGATGGCCTTCGCGACTTCTGGTGCGCGGTTATGAAAGGATCGTCGGCGTTAGCAGCGGCATTGCATCGTGCTCTCTTGGGCGAGTCTGCTGTGACTATGGGACTCACAGTTGGTGCGCTACTATTAGACTTGGCCAAATTCTATGATCACGCGAAGCTGGCGCGCCTGATGGAGGTCGGGCTGGACGAGAACTTCCCTGCCATCTGCCTCCTGCTAGAGGTCCAGCTCTTCCTCAGCCCGAGGATATTGAGAGCTCGTGGGTGGATAGCTGGGCCCATTTATTCCCTCCAGGCGATCGTGGTTGGCCCCCCTACAGGTGTGATTTTGGCGCGTCTGTTTCTGCTCCCTATCCTCGCGCGCGCTCAACGTCGGGCCGGGGGTGCTACCGCGTGGATTTTCGTGGGTGACACCGTGGCGAGGTCAGGAGGAGCGGCTCGAGCAGCGGCGCGGCAACTGATAATGGCGGGAGGTGAGTTGAAGGCAGCAGTTGATCATGCTGACCTCCCAGTCTCTGACAATACTGTGGTGTTATCGAACAATGAGCCAGTGCGAGAGCGACTGGGGCGGGGCCTTCGACGACGAGGGGTTCCGGTCTCAGCGGCTACGACGGCAGCGGACCTTTGCATCGACATGGCTGCGGGCACACGCACAGTCCAGAAGAAGGCGGGGGGGCGCTTGCGAGCGGCTTCCACCAGGGCCATGGGGATCGTGCGCGCGAGGAGCACGGCTCAGCAGGCCCGTATTGCCAATGGTCTGTGGGCCACAGGATCTTTACCGCAGGGAGTGCATGGCCACCAGGTTCGTGGACTCGCTCGACATGCTATGCTGCGATGGCGCAGACAGGCGGCAGCGGCGGCCACTGGGCAGGCAGCTGGGCGCTGCCTCGCGACCCTCTTTGGGGGGGTCACTTTCGACGTGGCTGATCCTGGTGTCCAGCTACGAGTGCAACTACTGCGTCAGTGGATTCGCTTTTGGCAGGGTCAGCCACACCTTCATCAGCGTGTCCGCAGGCGGTGGATGCTTCTCAAGGCGAAGCTGACGCTTGCGGGCCCAACTATCTGGTCATATGTTACTGGGCCGCCGGGAGTTACGATTGCGACACTGCTCGAGGCTGGTTGGGACCCCAAGGAAGCGGTCCGCTGGCAACGAGTGCATGGCGAATGCTTGGGGGGATGGAGGCTCCCAGGCGGTGGGATGGAGCGGAGCTATTCAACCTCGACTGCGAGCCCGTCCCCGGCGAGTTCAGCAACGACCTCCAGGGCAGGCTCTGGGCGACTGCGGCGGCGCACGAGCACGGCGCCTCTCTCTTGCCTCTGGAGCCGGCCTTGTCGCGAGCAGGGTCGAGCAGCGGAGGTTCTTGTCCAGCGGGAAACTGTCGGCATGGGCTCTGAATAATAGTGTGGCGTCTGGGGGCCAGTGGGCTCGTGAGCGCCTCTGCCAGGCTGGGTGCAGAGTGAGCCGTCTCAGTGATAGGTGCAACGCTGGGGCCATTGAGGACCTCCCACATAGGCTCAGGAAGTGCTCGGCTAATGAGGTCCCTGAGGCTGCTGCCAGTGATCACTTAGTGCCCCAGGCGTTTGCGGGTCTGGAACTGGAGTGGAGGTGCCCCTAGCCTCTCCTCCACTACTCCCTCCTTCTCTCCGTGGGACGGAGGTGGGGTTGCGGTGGTGGGTCCTGGCAATGAAGGACGGCCCTCGTGGGGAGCTTGCCGAGACCCCCAGGGGCGCCTGCATTTGTTTGGTGATGGCTCTGGAAGGGGCCTTTTCCCTCGGAGGCGCCGATGTGGCTGGGCGGTTGCGGCGATCTCCCCCGGCGGCGCTGGCCTGTGGCGAGGCCACTCTGGCCCTTTCGGCCCCTTGGAGAGTAGACGGCGGACCGTCCCGCGTGCTGAGTTGCTCGCTTTTTTTGCACTGCGGTGGAAGACAGCCCGGGGCCTCTGATGCTTATCACCGACCATGAGCCTTTCCTCCATGGATGGGGGTAGGATTGGGCTCGGAGGCCTCCTGGAGCCTGGGCTCGGCGCCTCAGGAACTGGGATCTTTGGTCTCGTCTGCGCAGGGCCTTGGAGCTTGACTCTGGACGCGACGCGGCCTTGGCGTGGACCCCGTCGCGCCAGGATGAGACGCCAGAGGCCGTTACCAACCCATTTTTGCGTGCGGCAATATCGTTGCTGATGCATGGGCAGGCCGAGGAGCTGAGAAGAATGGGCCTTCTGCGCGTGAGCCTGTCCCGCGCGCTGATCTTTGGGATGCGCCGGCCGCCCATGTCCCTGCTAGAGCTGGGGCCATTATCAAGAGTATTGGCTCTGAGAAGGTGCTGCGAGGGCAGGGGGTCGGGGTCCCTCGTCAGGCCCCCCTGCCCACCCGCGCTTTGTGTCTCATGGCCTCCACGCGCAAGTTTGAGAGCTGTGAAGACAAGTGGCGATCCGCTGTATGTACGCAGCTTGTTCGTGATTGCCGCCTCGACGAGACGGCCCTCGCCATCTGTCCTCGGCTGCCCCCCCCGTTCCTGCCCTCGCTCGGGGAGGGGGGGCTCCGCGTTTATTCGGGGGGGCGGTGGTGGTGGAGGCTCGGGGGCGGAAGTTGCGAGGCCTGGAGGCCCATGAATCTCACAGAGTGCTAGAGCTCCCACGCTGGCAAGTTCTCTTCTGCACACTTTGCGGCGCGAGCGCCACCTTTCGCTTTGCGAAGCCTTTGGAGGAGCTCAGCGAGCCCAGTTCCAAGGGGAAGGGGGTCCTTGCCCGCATTGCCAAGGGCCTGCATCCTTCCCGCGCGGGTCCCTTGAAGGCCATCACCGAGGCGGCGCGCTTGGATGCTGCCTCAGAGGCCCGCGCTCGTGCGCTCCCCAGAGCCGTGGTGCCCCGGGCCCCTGGACCCCCACATGAGGGTGATAGAGGGGCCTCGGAGTTCCCCCCCCCCCTCGGCCCCGCCCCCCCGCCTGAGGGAGTGCGTGGAGGCGTGGATGGAAAGGGGTGAAGTTTTGAACGAATGTGTTGTGGAGGAGGCCGTGCAGGCTGTGAAGGGGGAGGAGGGTGATGGCGTCGGGGCGAGGGTCCAGTCGGCGTCGGCCGCGTCGGCCGAGGGTGCACGGGCGTGGCGCGCGGTGTGAGCGCACCTGGCCGAGCCACGTCCGTCCTCGGCCTTGGCGGCTGCGACGTCGACACCCATGCCCGCGCCGACCTCCCCCTCCAGCTCCTCCAACTAGGCCTGGCCCCCTTCCGCGCGACCCCTCGGTCGCCTTGCACTTAGCCCACGTAGTCCTCCTCCTCCTCCCTCTCCTCCTCCCCCCTGTTCTCTCCTCTTCCTCCCTCCCCCTCCCCGTCCCCCTGTGCCCTCCTCCGCGTTCCTCCTCTGATTTTTCCTCCTCCTCTTCCTCCTCCTCCTCCTCCTTCTCCTCCTCCTTCTCCTTCTCCTCCCCCCCCCTCTCTCCTCGGCCTCCTCCCTCCCCGTCCCGTCCGATGACGACGGTGACTCCGCGCGCACGCCCAGGCTCCGGTCGTGTCGCCAATCGTGTGCCCGGACGGCCAGACGGCCTTCTGCGACGGCAGCAGGATCGGATCGGATAGGAGGAGGAGGAGGAGGAGGAGGAGGAGGAGGAGGAGGAGGAGGAGGAGGAGGAGGAGGAGGAGAAGGAGGAGGAGGAGGAGGAAGACGAGGAGGAGGAAGAGGAGGAGGTGGAGGAGGATTCCACAGGCCAGGCCTCTAGACATTCGTAGAAGGACCCCAGGCCCGTCCTGGGCGACCAGGCTTGATCTTGAGAATTGCAGATGGTGGCGCGCAGTCCAGCTATTTCTTCCTCGCGCCGCTTCTCTCACGTGGCGACGACGACCCAGCCGTGGTAACGACGAGCGACGAGGCGGGGGAATGGGCCCCCCCGCGGTGAGCGACGAAGGAAGGCAAGTTCGTCTTCATCGACATTGGCGCATAGGCTGTCCGCGTAGGGTCGCGCGTAAGAGCTATCGTTTCTAGTGTAGCGTGTCGCGGTGGCGGCCCGCGCCAGACATCGCGTAAAGTCGCTATGTCATTTAGCGTGACCCCTTTCTTTTCGTCGCTCAGGTGACAAGCCATTCGGTCGAGCCACGTTCTTCAGCATTCGCATTGCCAGAACCTGCCGTGCACACCTTGCACCTGCTGCCAGTGCGCGCGGGCGGACGCCAGTGTTCTAGCTGATTGCTGCCCGCCTTCTATCACGAGCTGACCCTAACAGCATTGCGTCGTAGCTGATGAGGTGTTTTTGGCGCCGGCGGGCACCGATAACGGCTGCTCCCGTTGCCTGCCTTCTCGCATCAACAGGCATTGCTGCCACTGCCTGTTTTCTCGCACTGCCCGTCCCTGCTGCCGCCGCTCTCTCGTGCGAGCTGACCCCCGCAGCTCTGTCGCTGATGACAAGTCCTTGCCTCGCCACTTGGCACAGGCAGCGGCTGCTGCCACTGCCAGCCTCGTTGCACCGAGAGACCCTGCTGCCACTGCTGATCGTCTCGCACGAGCTGGCCCTCACTGCAATGTAGCTGAAGCTGTTGCTCCTTCGTGGCCATCGGTCACCGGTAACCGCTGCTGCCACTGACTGTCTTCTCGCACCGACAGGCCCTGCTGCCGATGTGTGCCTTCTCGCTCGAGCTTACCCCCGCCGCAATGTAGCTGAAGATGCATCGATCACCGCTGCTGCCTCTGCCCGCCTATTCGCACAGGCTGAGCCCCGCTGCAATGTAGCTGGCGTTGTAGCTCCTGCGCGGCCACTGGGCAACGACAACCGCTGCTGCCACTGCCTGCTTTCTCGCAGTCTCGTATCGACAGCCGGGCGCGCGCTGCCCGGCGGCTCCCGCCCAGGTGTGCAGCGAGTCCCAGCGGGGAATAGAGCAGGGGGCCGCACATTGTACGCGGGCGGGTACGGTCGGGAACATTTGGATGGCGTGTCGCGCACCACGCTTCGGCGCGACGCGCTATCCACTTCCCGGTCCCCAGGCTTCAACGTCACCAGCCTTTTCGAGCCTCCCGCCCAGCAGAGCGGAGCGACGCGCTCACGCTACTCGCAGGGGATATTGTGTCGCCGAGGCCGCCGCGGCGACACTCTAAACGTGCCTGACCGCAGGAGGTTCAGGATGGGTCCGCGCGCCACTCTGCCCCTGAGTTATCGGGCCTCCTCGCGCCTGGAACGGTCGCGGATGCTTCGCCGCACCCTCCCCGCGACCTCTGCGCCGTTCTGCCCGTTGCCATTGTCACGGCGACGGTGCAGCCGTGAGTCTGTCACGGCCCTGGTCTGCTGGGGAGGCCTTTGCGGCCAGTTCCGCCGACCCTGAATGGGGATCCTCGGACTTGGAACGGTCGCGGATGCTTCGTCACATCGCTCCCGTGACTTTTGCGCTGTTCTGCCAGTTGCCGTTGTCGCCGAGACGGTGCGGCCATGAGTCTATGACGGCCCTGGTCTATGCTTAGATTAGGTGCGTTGTTGGTAAAGTCGCGGCGTCCCCTAAGGGTTTTGGCAAACGCGACCGTGTCTGCGACCTGCCGCCGATCTCCCTCTCTCCCCGCGCCTCCCAGCGGACGGACGGGAGGCTTCCGCAGGGATCCATCCTGAGCGTAGTCGCGACCGGCGAGCGCTCCATCCTGTGACTGTGACAGGGGAGACTCCTCTCCCCCCAACAGATCTTTTGTCCTTTTCAGGGGAAGGTGGCCTCAGGATCGATTCAGCTGCGATGTGCTTCAGCAGCGGTCCTGCCGCGCACCGCGCCCCAATGGCGCGCGCCTGCGCCACCGGTGGCCTTGCCCCAGTCGCAGTCGCTGTTCGCCCAGGGGGCCTCCGCCACCGCGGTCCGCCGCCCTGCCCCCGCGCCGCCCCGTCGGCTGGCTGGGCCCTCGTCCCTCGCTCGGAGGGCCTGCCCGTGCGCCACCTGCACGGGGCGGCGCGCACTCCTGCCGTGGTGCCGTGCACGGGCTACAGTGCCGTGGGCGGCACGCACTCCTGCCGTGGTGCCGTAACCATGCACGGGGAATGGACGCCCCGGCGGTGGCGAGCTGCTGCCTGGCCCTCGGAGGAGGAGCGGCAAGGGCCCACGAGCCAACGAGGGTCCGAGGTGACCGCCCTGCCGCAGCCGGTGCACACCGTGAGGCCATGCCTCCACCGCAGCCTTGCTGCCAGTTCTGGCTGCGTAGAGTCGGGGTCTTGAAGAAGGAACCCTTTTCGTTGGGGAGGGGCTCCGCGTTCCTCAAGTGTTTCACAGCCTGCCTCAGGTGTTCCTTACGTTTTCGATGGGACATCGAAGTTCAACTTGTGGAAAGAGGGGCCTCGTTCCTTATTCAGGGTTCCTTAGGTCAACGCCCCGACTGTAGTGAGTGGCGCTCTTCCCTCTCCGCCTCTGCTCCCCTTCGCCCCGCACCCGGAGCGCGCGGGCCGCCCCCCCCCCCGCGGAGCCGCTTCTCCCCTCACTGCCCTGGGCACCGCGCAGCCGCTGCAGTGGCGGCCGGCCGCGTCGCTGGCCCCACGCCGCCGGCCCCCCCCTCTCTTGCCGCCAGCTGCCTGGCCTCCAGCCGCCGCGGCCTCCCACCCTTTTGCTCTCGGGTATGGCCAGGACCCCGGGTAGAAGGGGACCCGATTAGTGGTAGGGCCCCGGAGCCCCTGACTTGGCCAGCATCACAAAACACCGGGTTTGCCACAGCTTGTGTTTTTTTCGGGTGACGGCAGCTCCGGTTGGTGGAAATGGGGCGGGGGGGCGCCCCCGGTACAGATCACTAAACCAGGTTCCGCTAAATCCAGTGCTGCAAACGCACGATGCTTGCCGGGGTTTCGCCCGCTCCGTGGCAGCCAGGCCCCGCCCCTGGTGCCCTGCGCCGCCGCCCCGCAGCCGCTGCCAGCCTGGACCTCAGCCAGGCCGCGCCCCGTCCTCAAGCGTTGCCCCGCTGCGTGAGCGGGCCTTGCGCTCCTTCCTCCCCTTCCTTTGCGGCCGCCCGCCCTAATTTTTGGACGCCCGGAATGGGTACGGAAAGAATGGGTACAATGCCCAACAGCAGCTCCTGTTCATTCTGAACAGGACTCGCTGTCCACGCCGCCGCGGCCTGTGTCCATTCGAGACAGGAGGCCGCCTGCCCAACAGCGGCCGCTGTTGGTTTGGGACAACATTTGTTGTTGGGCGTTGTACCCATTCTTTCCGTACCCATTTCGGGCGTCCAAATAACTCCCTTCCTCTTGCATTCTAGGCCTCCAAGACGGGGTCCGAGTAGATGGGGGTCGGAGGATCGCGCCGCATCGCCCATGCATCGCTGATGATGCTCGATGCGGAACCCGATTTTCTCCACGCCGACGTCGCCGATGCATCGCCGACGTCTCCGATGCAACGCTGGTGCATTGCCGATAGATCGCCGATGCGTCGCCGATAAATTGGCGATGCGGCGCGATCCTTCAACCCCATCGACTCGGACCCCGTATAGGAGGCCTCTATGTATACGGACTGATTCGTGACCTCGTGCCCCGGCGTCATTCGGACTCGTCTGCGGACTGCCCCTGCCGCGCTGCGGCGGACGAGTTCCAGCAGCGGTGGAGAGCACCAGCGCACATCCCTCACAGGGCTGCTGGGTAACGCTCCCCTTCGTTTTGATTGGTTGTCGTTAGGGTTAGGTCGGGCATGTCCCCCGAAAGGCTGATTTTTGGTTTAAAAGAAAATGAAAGACAGTCAAACATGGGCAAACAGCAATCTAAACAGCGTCCCCTGACTATTTGTTTTATCTGTTTTTGAATATTCCTCCTGTATGGGGACATGCCCGACTTAAGTTAAGGGTTGCGCCGCGAAGTGCTGCTCACGCGATAGACAAAGTGCGGTAAGCGTGCGCCTGCTGCCTTTCCCCCTCCCACTGCGCCTCCTGTCCTCGCGCGTGCCCTTGTCCTGCTTCGCCCGAAATTGTCGATCCCTCTTGTTGGCCGCCGCTTCCATCATAATATGTAGCGGCAGAGCGCGCTCGCTGCAGGATGTCATCAACCAGGACGTGTGCTCGCCACATCGGGCTCAGTACATTTCATCGTCCTCGCTTTTCTTCCTCATTCCGGCTTTGTCCTACGATTTCAATGGCAATGCAATTCAGTTCGCAATGACAGCGGATGTGTGAGATAAGGCTGTGTTTCGTGGGATAAAATCTAGAGTTTCCGCTCAGATTGGACTTTGTTCGGTCGCTGATCGGTTGATTTGAGCTGGTATAGACGGATCCTTCGCAGACGCATCCACGCTTCACGAACACAAGCAAGACACCTTCCGACGTCGATGTGATGAAAAGCGCGAGCGCGCTGAGCACCGCGTTGCCCTTTGCCAAGAAAGTATGGTGAAGCCCATAGACGGCGGGTCCCTCCGAGCGCGCCAGGGGCACTTCTGAGAAACAGGGAGGAGGAAGAAGGGGAGGACTTGGATGCCGCGTGTCCTGCAGGATGTACACGCCAGTGGGCGGCAGCGGCAGCGTCTTTACCGACGGGGAGCAGACCTACGAGATGGCTTGCTTCCAGGTGACGATGCCCCTCCAGGAACATCTGGGCGGGATTTGGGCGCGGCTGTTGAATCGGATGATGCTGCTGCTGCTGACGATGATGCTGATATTGGCGACGGCAGCGTTTGTGATCGTGATGGTGATCATGACGACGATGGTGATGTTGACGATGAGGACGGTGGCGGCGACCACTATGACTGCGGTTACGATGACGATGACGATAGCGATGACGATGATGAGGATGTTGCTGATGATGGTTATTATGATTATGACAATGATGATTATGATGGTCATGGTGATGTTGTTGATGATGCCAGACATGATCAAGGTGGTGGTGGTGACGATGGTGGTGATAATGATTGCGATGACGATGGCGTTTGCCAAAAAGGAGACGATTATGGTGATGCTGACGATGGTGATGATGAGGATGATGTTGATGCTGACGGCGATGACGACGACGATAATGATGTCGATGTTGATGCTGATGATGATGACGATGACGATGCCGCTGCTGCTGACGATGATGGTAACGATAACGATGATGCTGTTGCTGCTGCTGCTGATCTGCTGCTGATGATGACGAGTAGGATGATGATGATGATGATGATGATGATGATGATGATGATGATAATGGTGACGATGATGATGATGATGATGACGATGCTGATGGTGGTGATGATGACGACGACGATGCCGATAGTTGTGATCACGTTTATCTTCGTGATTACCATGATGGTGATGATGAGTGTGACGACGATTGCGATGATGATGGTGTTGGCGATCGTTTTGATCCTGGTAATGACGCTGACGCTGGTGATGGTTGTAATGATGCTGCTGACGATGATGATGTCGGTGCTCATGATGCTGCTGATGAGGATCATGATGATGATGGTGGTCATGATGGTAATGGTGGTGCTGATTATGCTTATGATGAGGTGGGCGATGACATTAACGATGTTAATGTCGATGATGACGATGTTCATGCTGTCGATGATCATGACGGTGGTGATGCTGATAATTATGATGATGCTGCTGCTGATGATGATGCTGATGATGGTGCCAATGATGACGATGACGACGACGGCGATGATGATGTTGATGATGATGGTGATGCGGCTGATGATGATGAGAATGCTGATGCTGATTATGATGGCGTTGTTGATGATGTTGATGGTGCTGCTAATGATGTTGGCTGCTGATAATGGTCATGATGTTGCTGCTGATGATGGTGCTGATGATTGTGATGACGAGGATGGTGATGACGATGGTGACGATGCTGATGATGGCAGTGGTGGTGATGGTGCCGCTGCTGCTGCTGTTGGTGATGATGCTGCTGATCACGATGATGTTGATGATGCTGGTGAGCGTGATGGTGGTGGTGGTGGTGATGATGATGTTGCTGCTGATGATGATGATGCTGATGATGCTGAGTATGCTGATGACAATGGAAAGGATGCTGATGATGATGCTGTTGATACTCATACTGCTGATGATGCTGATGATGATAATGATGATGCTGCCGATGATGATGATGATGATGATGATGATGATGATGATGATGATGATGATGATGATGATGATGATGATGATGCTGATGATGATGATGCTGCTGATGCTGATGATGCTGATGCTGATGCTGATGATGCTGATGATGCTGATGCTGCTGATGATGATGATGGTGGTGATGATGATGCAGATGATGATGACGATGATGATTATGGTGGTGGTGCTGCTGCTTGATATAATCATAATGTTGCTGATACTGCTCATGATAGTGATGATGATGCTGATATTACTGCTGTTGATTTCTGCAGTTGATGGTGATGCTGATGCTGCTGCTGATGATGATGAAGATGAGGATGATGATCATGTTGATGATGTAGTTGTTGTTGATGGTGATCATGACGATGACATGGACGACGACGAGGACGAGGACGAGGACGGGAGGAGGCCGAGGAGGATGAGGGGAGGAGGAGGCGGAGTCGAAGGTGGAAGAGGAGGCTAAGCAGGACGAGGAGGAGAGTACCAGCATTGAAAGGAATGAGGACGACGAAGAGGCAGGGAGACGGAGGAGGAGGAGGAGGAGGAGGAGGGGAGGAGGAGGAGGAGGAGGAGGAGGAGGAGGAGGAGGAGGAGGAGGAGGAGGAGGAGGAGGAGGAGGGAGGAGGATGAGGAGGAGGAGGAGGAGAGGAGGAGGAGGAGGAGGAGGAGGAGGATGAGGAGGAGGATGAGGAGGAGGAGGGGAGGAGTAGGAGGGAGGAGGAAAAGGAGGGGGAGGAGGAGGAGGAGGAGGAGGAGGAGGAGGAGGAGGAGGAGGAGGAGGAGGAGGAGGAGGAGAGAGGAGGAGGGGTAGGAGGAGGAGGAGAGGAGGAGGAGGGAGAGGAGGAGGAGGAGGAGGAGGAGGAGGAGGAGCAGGAGCAGGGAGGAGGATGAACTGCCACATCGCCTCAAACGTGGCGCGACAGGCGCAATAGCTCACACCACCCCCCCACGCGCGAGCAGATGAGGAGCAGGAGGAGAAGGAGGAGGAGGAGGAGCAGGAGGAGCAGGAGGCGGAGAGGAGGAGGAGGAGGAAGGAGGAGGAGGAGGAGGAGGAGAGGAGGAGGAGGAGGAGGAGGAGGAGGAGGAGGAGGCAGCAGCAGGAGCAGGAGCAGGAGCAGGAGCAGGAGCAGGAGCAGGAGGAGCAGGAGGCGGAGGGAGGAGGAGGAGGGGAGGAGGAGGAGGAGGAGGAGGAGGAGGAGGAGGAGGAGGAGGAGGAGGATGAGAGGAGGAGGAGGAGGAGGAGGAGGAGGAGGAGGAGGAGGAGGAGGAGGAGGAGGAGGAGGAGGAGGAGGAGGAGGAGGAGGAGGAGGGATGGGGGAGGTGGGGGAGGAGGGGGGAGGGGGGGGGGCAGTGGGACCAGAGTGAGGCGCGCGCTGCGGGAGGGGCGGGCCCTGCAGGTACTGGGAGGGTGAGGAAGGAGGGGCGGGGGGCGCGTGCAGCTGCAGTGGTCGCTGTGGTGGTCTTGGTAGTGGTCGCAGTGGTGGGGCAGGCCCCAGGCAGGCGAGGTCCCGCCCGCCAGGACCCGGGCTCCCCGCCGGGCATGAGCGGCCTCGGGTGCGGCTTCGGTCCCGCAGGCGCTTGCGGCCGGCCCCCACGGACTCTTCTTACCTTTCGATGGGAGTTCACAGGAGCCCGGGGGCACCTCAGGGAGCTCACCGGTTCAACGCTCGACGGATAATGCGTCCCGAGTACCTGTTGTGCAGCCATCACCGTCAGATCGACGAACAAACGGCACACGCTTCAGAGTCCCGCACGGATTTCTTGGGTCCTCGCGGACCTCCGAAAGTGTAAGGTTACGGTTGCGCGAATGTTTTCCACCCCAGCCAGGACAGCGCAAGGTACCTCTCTCAGCGTGCGCCGTCAGGTGGGGACGGGTTCTGCGAGGCCCAGAGGAGGCGGCGCCCATCTCCGCCTGGATTGTTTGGTGAAAGTTGAGACACTGGCTGTGTTCAAAAGCATCTTCACTTTTCAATCTTTCAACATTATGATAGGTGGCGACGCGACGTTTTGACGTTTGGTTGTTGCACCCCCTTCCAGCCACAACTGGGCGCTGTATGAAACACCTCTTCAGAGGATGTGGTTCCAGAGTCGATGTAGGTCAGATGTTGGCAATGTTAATTCGTGTTGGCGCCATTGGGCGAGACCCACCAGCTGTCGATAGTGCATGTGCCTCCAGCGCAAGGCTGCCGACAGGAGTGATCCAACTTCACGCGCGAACCCAGCTCGCTCATATCATGCTATCGCACTCACCACCGCCACAGCCGTCAACACGTCTTCGTACTGGTCTTGATCATCACCCTGATCCTCACCAGCATGCCCCCTGTCGAGGACTGCGAGCCTGAAGGAGCACCAGAGGAGCCTGCGATCCCCTGTGGGGATCGCGCCCAGCGGCGGCTCGCCCCTGCTGGAGGCAACTCCCCACTCCGATGCCTATCTGGTTCGGTCCTCATCTTTTTTACATCGGAGGGTTTCCTGAGCTAGACCAGAATCCTCACCCGCATCCTTCGAGTAGGGAATCCACTATAGAATTCACGAATCCCAGAACTGTTTTGTCCACGCCGGATCTGCGAACCAATGCGTATAATGCTCGTAGATCTAGGATCACTCCACGCGGATTCCATGGATCCGACGAGACTTATCAAGTTTGGGGCACATCAACTATGTAGTCGACCCCCTACTCGAATCCTGAGGTCCGATAGAGTCGTGCTCAAGACGCCCAGCCCGGCGAGGCCCGCCACCGACCGACCGGCTGCGCGCCCCCGCCGCCGAGGGGCCCGATGTCCGGGGCCTCGGGCGCCGTCTGCCTGGACCCCGCCGCCCTCGGCCTGCCGGCGGACTCGGACATGTGCTGCGAGATCGAGGATCGGCGGCGATCGACTAGACGTAAGTGACCTTTCGCCGGAGTGACCTTTGGTGCGGGCCAGATGGGGTCCGCCGATCGCCGAACACGAGGCGGCAGTGGCGTCTTGCGCGCCTGTGTTTGGCCCCCTCGCGGCCCCCCAAAAAGCCGCGCACCAAAGGTCACTCTTACCCAGGGTCACTCTTGCGTGTAGCCGAGCGGCGAGCGAGGGGGGGGGGGAAGTGAGGAGGAGGAGGAGGCCTGTCAGAGGGCGGCGGGACTCCTCGGAGGCTCTCGCGCAGAGGTTTCTGCTGCGTCCCTCGGGGAAGAGGCTCCGGGGGGAGCTGTTCGGGAGGCCGAGGGGCTCCTGGGCCTCGGAGACGGCCCGCCTCTCCTCGCTTGCCCCCCGGGCCCGCCGCCGAGAGGAGGAGCTCGGCAGCCCGCCGCCGTGGCCCCTGGCCAGCCTGAAGGGCCTGTTCGATCGCCCCCGAGAAGGAACAGGAGCGGCACGAGGGCAGGCCATTCGGAGACCCGCGCGGGGCTCTCGGATCGGCGCTGGACCCCTCCCTGGTGGCGGCTCGGGTTCCCGCCCCTCGGGGGGGGGGGGGGCAGCGCCGATCGCAGAAGCCCGCCTGGACCCCCGAATCACTGTGTCTGCGCTTCTGGCTTCTTCTCGCCCATCGCCGCTACCCCGGCTGGGACGACGCCCCCCAGGTGCTGGTCTCGTCTCCGGTGAGCCGGCTGCGCGGGCTGGTCTCCGCGCTCAACGGCGGCGACGACGGCGCCGAGGACGCTCTGCGCGAGCTGGGCACGGAGGTCCGAAGAGGACAAACGGTATGAACACCACCTTTTTTGGAGCTCCGCGCGGCTTGCCTGGATCGGCGCTGGGCCCCCCTCCCTGGCGCGCCGCGTTCGATGAATACGAGCGGCATGAACAACAGCTTTCGGAGCTCCGCGCGGATTTCCTGGATCGGCGCTGGGCCCCCCTCCCTGGCGCGGCTACGGCGCCAGGGGCGGCGCCAACGGCGCCGCGAGGAGGGCCCAGCGCTCATCTCCAGAAATCGGCGCGGGCCTCCGAAAGTTCATGCTCATGCCGCTCTTTCTTTTTCAAGGGCGCCCTCGTGGGCGCGAGGTTATTCGCGCTTCGCTTTTCGTGCTCGGCTCCGATTCCTCCTCATCCTTCTCTTCTTCCATAGGGGGGGCGGCGCGAGCGAGCGCGAAGCTCTTCGCGCTTCGCGCGGCGCGAAGCTCGAAGTCCGGCGCCCTTGTCTTTCGAGAGGTGAAGCACGCGCAGATCCGCGTGATGTGCCACCAGGCGGAGGGCCCCGACGGGCCCTCCCCGCTCCAGGACGAGTGCCAGCTGCTCCTGCTCGCGGTGGGGCGGCTCGGGGAGCTGCTGCTGTCCGAGCGCGAGGCGCTCCGCCGCCACAGCTCTCCCGTGCCCGCCGCTGCGGAGTCGTGCCCCTCGTGATCTCGATGGGTGTGTGGACACGAGGCGTTCCAGGAACTGGCCTCGCCCTCGAGGGTCGAAGGAGTTGGCGTCTCTCTCTCTCTCGGCGGAAGGAAGGCGGAGGGTCGGCGGAGGCCGGCGGAAGCAGCACGGCGGCGGCTCCGCCTGCGGAAGTCGGCGGGAGGCCGGCGGAGGGTGGCTTCCCAGGAGATGGCACGTTTGTTTGGTTCAGGGTTTCCGCAACCCGCCATACGGATACGGTCAGTCACCGCCCACCCAACCCAACCCGAAGGCCCCGATTTGCCCTCCATTTCCAGTTGGGGGGGTGTCGGGGAACATTTTGAGAAAACACATGTGAAGCCCGTACCCCCCCCACCCGGAATTCGGGTCTTCGGGTTGGGCTGGGGTGGTTTGGTAGGTAGTCAGTCAGGAATTCTGGTTTGGCGTATTGCGCCGCCGTTCCGGCCACCCACGCCTCGGCGCGACGCGCTATCCACGCCCTGGTCCTCGGGCGTCGACGCTCGCAGCCTCTCCCAGCCTCCCGCCCCGCGGAGCGGAGCGACACGCTGATTTCGCCCGCAGGGCACAGCGTGCCGTCGGGGCCGCCGCCGCGACGCGCTAAGCAAACGTTCGTCACCGTAACTGCCCGCCCGCGCGGGCGGGCAGATATCCACGTGCACCTTGCGCGGCTTCTGCTCGCGGGCGCCGCCGTCGGGTCTGCGGCCGCGCCAGCCGCCGCCGCCGCACGACGACGCCGCAGTCGCGCGACGGCGGCGGCGGGGACGGCGACGGCGGCGGCGGCGGCGGCGGCGCTGGCGCCGGCGCCGGCGCCGAGGCGTCGCGCCGCGAGAGCGAGGCAGGCGTCCGCCGCCTCGCCGAGGCGCAGCAGGCGCGGGCCGCTGCGGCGCAGGAGGCGGGCGCGGAGGCGCACAGCCAGGCGAAGCAGCAGCTGGAGGAGATGGCGGCGGAGGTGGAGGCGCAGCAGGGCCGCGCGGACGCCCTGGAGCAGGAGTCGGAGAGGAGGCGTCGCCATCGCATCGCCGTGAGCGTGCAGGCAAGACGCTGATGCGGTTGCAGATCGGGGGAGGCCTGTGTGTCCTCGAGATGCCGCCTTTTGAGTGCATTGTTGCGCGCCAGCGTCTGGTAATCGGTGAGAGCGCGCTGATTTAGCGTCGATCTAGCGTCGACTAGCGTCGATTAGCGACGATTCGCAAGAGCCAGTAGCACGACTAGGAAAAGACGCATCGAGTCAGTAGAGAGCTTGAATCGATATTGCACTTGTCCTTTCTGAGTCTCTTCAGCCGCTTGGGCTCGGGTGTCGTGAAATCTTTTGGGAGAGGAGGCCCGAGCAGCGCGTGATTAAAGTGCTACCACTCCAGCGTGACTGCACTTGTCCTTGAACAACAGTGCTTCCAATTCGCATTTTGGCTCAATCGTGTTCTTCAATATCTCTTCCTGTAGCTCTGCTGCCGTTCTCCTTACTTGTGGGCGCTGCAGAAACTTGAGAGGACACAATCCCTAGAAAGACATCGGCACACGCATAAACGTTCGGGACGTCCGCGCGGATTTCTTGGATCGGCGCTGGGACCCCGTGGCGGCGCCTCTGGCGCCGCCCCTGGCGTGCTCCGCGCGCCAGGGAGGGGGCTACCACAGCCGATCCAAGAAATCCACGCGGACCTCCCGAACGTGCCTGTTTATGCAGACGTTCCTCCATCCCGACCGGGACAAGCGTAAGGTACGTTTCCCAGCGCGTGTCGCCTCTAGGTGGGGATGGGTCCGCGAGTCCCAGAGGAGGCGGCGCCCATCTCCGCCTGGATTGTTTGGGGAGATGTGAGACATTGTTTGGGCTGACACAGAAGATCCCATGCCTTGCCACCAAAGTAAGGGTCCTTGCAACCTCACCTCTCGTCATTCTGATGGGTGGATGCGTGACGTTTGAACATTTGGCTCTTGTACACCCTTCGAGGCCACACTTGGGCGCTGCAGGAAACACCTCTCCAGAGGATTGAGATTTGAGTTTCTCTTTTAGCGGGCGAAGAACGGTATAACATGAACTGTTCCGTCACCGGGGCGCCTGTCCCAGGGCGGCTGGAAAGTTTGTACCCTGACACGCCACCGCGGTGGCGTAAACTTTCCAGCCGCCCCAGGACAGGCGCCCCTGGCGGCGAAGCATTGCATCTTACACCGCTCTTCGCCCGTGAAGATCCGGGGAGACTGGAGACTGGAGACTGGAGACGCCGTCTGGGCTGCAGATGGGGGTTTGTACCGATGGCGCGCGTGCGTTTGACTCTTGCACACCCTTCGGGGCCACAGCTGGGCGCTGCAGGAAGCACTTCTCCAGAGGATCCAGATTTGGGGGGGGGGGACTTCGAGGAGACCTGGGACTGGAGACGCCGTCTGGGCTGCCGGGGGAGGCCCGTGCCGATGCGTGCGATCGCGCGCGTGTTCCTCCTCCGAGGAGGCGCGCGCCCTCGAGCGCCAGGCGGCCGAGCTCGAGGCGCGCGCGCAGGGCTTCGAGGAGGAGTGCGCGCGGCTGCGGCGGGCGCACGCCCTCCTGGAGGAGGAGCTCGGCGACGCGAAGGCGCAGCGGGCGGCCCTCGCGGTGGCCCACGAGGACACGGAGGGCGCCCTCGCCGAGCTGCAGCGCCGCCTGGACGCTGCGCCTGCGCTGGCGCGCCGGGGC